TAGCCATTATATGGTTTCTAATTTAATTATCAAATACTTGTCCCAAAGTACAAAAATTTAAAGCTTTAACATAATGTTAAAAAAATGAAAAAAAGAAAAGAACTTCAACATTAATATTAACATATATAAAACAACTGGAATTAGGTCAAGTTAATTATCTCAAGGGCCATTTGTTTCAACAACTCTTCTTCAACTGTGAGTGATTGAAAAAAAAACCCTAATTAAGTTAATTTGGAATTTGGAATTTGAAAAAAAACCCTAATTAAGGATGTCAATTACCAGTTCCAGAGGGAGCAAGATTCTCCTGCAAATGAATTTTCAAAGTCACATGGACTCAATTAGAAGGGTCTCACAAAGAACAATTCAATAAGTGCTAAGGACGCTAACCTTGCCCCACTGATCTGCCCTACTCCTAATTTCTTTGGCCTGACATCTTTATAGCTTTCAAGGTGTGCATGCAGAGGAGTGGGTCATTTGAATAGTTTCTGAAATCTAGAAAATTAACGGTATGATACTATTATATTGTTCAGTGTAAAATCTTTGGAGGTGAGTTGGAACTCAATTTTCCTATACCACTATTCTTTCTCCATGTATGTTGGACATGGAAGGTGAAATTCTACTCCTGCAAAAATCAAATGTATTGATGACTCGTTATTTTTGAGGTATGGGTTTTCTTAAGGACCATATTGTGAGCCTCCCTGGCTCCACCCCAGGTCCTTATCCATTCATTATCAGTATAAATGTTATTGTTTAATATTATCAATAGGCATTTGGGTTAGCAGAAACGAACACCATTTCCGAGTAAACTTTACTTAGAAAATTAGAAGTTCGAAATATGATTAGCGAAATCACATATGGTGGATCATTTCATTTTGGATCCCAGCATCCTTTAATGAATCCTTTAGTATGGTAAAGGTTATGTCCTGTCGTTTGTTGCCAAAACGAAAGAAAAAAACATTCTTCCCAGCCATTGGGTTTCAAGCCATTCTCTGGTGCGGCATTCACTTTACTAAGGATTGTGCAAATCTGAGTCATGTGCAAGAGAGAGAGATTGCAACCACAAAACTTTTAGCCCCCATTTAGCCATCACAAACGCATTGGCGGGGCATTCATGCTACCCCATAAAAGGTGATAATTGGCCCTTTGATGCACCTAATTCTGATGTATGAGTGGTCCTTTTTTAGGGTTTTCAAAATTTTATTTTTTTTAAAAAAATTTTTCTGGGTACAGAGGAATTTGGTCCATGCACTTTGGTTGGGTGGAAAGCTTTGCAATCTCTTTTAGTGTTGCTATTCTGTTTCTTTGTTTCTTTTGATCTCTTCTTCGTCTTTATGAAAATTTTATGCTTCTCTTTGTTACAAAAAGTTTGTGCAGAGATTGGGAAAAGAGAAGATTTTGCGAATGAGAGCCTACTAAAGCCTTTGGACCACCTCAATTGATCGATCAAGATGTGATGACGTTACAGCAAATATTCATATTCGTTACAATAAATATTCTATGAGTTATATAATTATATTAAATCTGTCGGTTTGAATTTGCAATTCTTTTAAACATACCAGTGAATAAATGTGAACGCTTATTTTATATGTAAAGTTCGAAATTTCAAGATTTATTATAGTATATATAAGAATTATACAAGAATTCCAAAATTGTCGTTATTTTCATTTAGGACATTCACGTCATGTGCACCATATTTATTTCCTTAGAAAAAAAAAAAAAAAAAGAAAAAGAAAGAAAGAAAGAAACCCTAGAACCATCATTTCATGACATTTCTTGAGCTGCTCTCATTTGTTTGCATTAAAAATTTCTTAATGGTTAAAAAAAAAAAAAAAGGTTTTGTAGTATAGAAAGTTAGCTAAAGGGAACGATCAAATTAGCATCTCCCATAAATGATGGGACAAGGAAGACAATCTAACAACTCAGCAACGTAAGTGAGATAAGTTTTTTGACTAGTCCATTTCTTGTTCCTTCCTTGAAATGAAAGAGACTCCCACAATTTCATGTCTACAGCATTTAAGCTAATAGAGATAAGAATAACAAAAGCTACAACCAAGTTATTCATGCGAAGATCATAATTATTATGAAGAATATATATAATATATAGTATCAATTGATAAAATTAAAAATAAATTACTAAAATTATAAAAAGTGTCAAAATTAAGATTTTTTTTTCTCATTTAGCCATTTTCAAAGGATTGATCCATTTATAATCCATAATTTTCTTTATAAAATGAGACCCACAGCACTCGTAATAATACAACAAAATCAAAATTAATAAAATTTTCAATTAGTTATTTTGAGAAATTAAAAATTGGAATTAATAAGGCAAACTAAGTTATTGGAATCAAATGCTACCTTACACTCTTTTTTCAAGAAAAGTTTAAATCTTGACAAACACAAACTTAACTAGTAGACATTATGTTTAAGACATTCAGTTTTGGACAGCTTTTGCTAACCAATTAGTACTAACATGTTGACCTAATTAGAGATATATAGATGCCTTATGAATGTCTATCATACCTTAAAAAATGAGGCCCTTCACATGGTACTTCTGAAAAATGTTGGTCTCAATTGAGCAAGAATTTCGGACAAATGTTAGAATTTACACACTTGAGAGAATAAATTGTTATGTAATTTAATAATTCATGAGATTAAAGTGCAATTAAGTTTTTAAAAGTTTGGGAACTAAAAACTTAAAATGTTAGAATTAAATTATGTAATAATTAAAAGTCTTAATATTACAATTAAAATACATATTCTCGAATTAAATAAATGGTTTTCATAAAGTTAGAAGGTTCGATGTGTAAAAAACTATTTATAAAGAGGGATAACATTAGTATCATTATCCAAAAAGAGACGTTGGGATACTTATTGAATTCCCATTTTTTTAAAAAAAAAGAAAAAAAGAAAACTAAAATGTATACTTTTGAAATATTTTCGAGTATTTAAATTTTATGCATGATGATTTACATGTGGTGCGCGATAGGTTTGGGGCCGAGTGGAGGAAGAGGTGTGCTTTGTAAAATGGGCTAGTCACCAAATTTTCAGAGCATTTATTGGGCTGGGCTTAAGCTGCGTTGGAATTCTTACCAGCAGTGGATATGCCATGCGAGGATTTTGGCAACGATAGAAAGATCTCTCTAAATTAGGGGTGAGTGAGTAGACTTTGGGAAAAAACCGAAAACCGAACCAAATCAAGTTATTTTCAATTTTTGATTTTGGATTCAATTTGAAATCTTCCGTAATTTCAGTTTTCTGTCTTTAGATTGATTATTACAAAATATTTATTTTATGAGTAAAATCAAACCGACGCTTACCGAACTGAACTGACCAGTTTGATAGAATTTTTAAATTTATTTTGATTTGATTCAATTTAAAAAAAAGAACTAGTTTTAATTTTTGGTTTTGCTGTTCTGCGAAGTCGAACTGTCCGTTTGCACAACTGTCGGTTTCCACCCCTACTCTAAATCAAACCTTTTTTTCCTAATAAACAAGAAATGGAAAAACTATATTATCAAGTTTGAAATTCTTATTTTTTGCAATGTGAGATATATTATAAAAGAGGTAATTACTATGTCCTACGCAAGGTTTGATGAAATATACTGATAAGAATTTCGATTTTAAAATATTTAGAGGGTATTTAGTCCAATTGATTTATGGAGTTGCTGTCTGATTTGTATTATATTTTAATATTATTTGTTATTAATAGTGAGCAGGGATGGTCGGTTACCAGCTTAAAATACATTACCCGAATCTAAACTCGATTATAAATTAGATACCTGAATTCGTTTAGAAATTCATCTTTAATACTCTAACTCATATTGAACTCGATTATAATTACTTGTTTAAAAATCCGAACCCGTTTAGATACTCGTTTAACATTAAAAATATTTTTATTTATTTTTATTTTTGAAAAAATAAAAAATAAGTAAATATTATAAAATATTTATTTTGACTTAATAAAAAATAAAATATAATTATAGATTAATTATAATTAGATGCGTATATATATTTTAGGAAAAATAATTATTTTAAATATTTTTTAAATATTAATTAAATAGGTATCCGAATCTTTGAATTTGAATTCCTCCCAAACTCATTTATTCACTATTTATTCTATCAAAATTAGATCGGATTGTGTATTTGACGGGTTACTTGAAATTGCCATCCTTAGTAGTGAGAAAGAGAAATCAATGAGGAAAGAGAGAGAGTCAAAGACTAAAGTGGAGACGATGAGTTTTTATATTCAAAATGCTTTAAAAGCATTCATCTCAATGTTCCATCCAATCTGTAATAGAAAATTTTTGCGTAACAAATTAAATTTTAGACATGCATGTATGAAGAAATTAAACCCTTAGCGCTTGAAGATATCTTTAAAATTTGTCAAAACCAACTTAAATTATTTAGAATCAACTAAAATCAAACCGACTCTAGTCGGTTTGGTTCTGATTTAAGAGCGTTATGAACTGAAATCGGACTGTGGCCCCCATAGGGTTGACATAAGGTGCTTTCAGTTCTCGACCAATGGCCAGACCTAACTGGACCAAATCAAAACTCACCTCTTCAAAACAAACATATTCGTTTCCCTTTAAACTAGGGGGTAATTCCGTCATAATAACTATAATTCCAATATTTTTTCACAAACTTTCAAAAGTGCTGGGCGGTTTCTCTGGCCTACCAATAACAGAACCCACCCATAACCCAAATACCCAAAACCTCCTACTTATTTACAACATAACCCAAACTAACTACCCAGTAAATCCATTCATGTTTTATGGGCAACTGTTTAATTTAATCAATATACCTCCGGTCCCACTTCCAACTTGATATCCAAAATCTAATCCAAGTCAACCACAGTCAAAATAAAGAATCGAGACAAATTTTAAACGCCGTCGTATTCAAACCTAGTATTGGGGACAAGCTTGGGATTTCAAAAAAACTGCCTTGCAAAATAGGAAAAAGAGAATCCGGAACATTAGCCTTAACAAAAACCCCTTTCTCTCTCCTGTATGGGCATTTGCAGTTAGGCAGGTAGGTACAATACAAATATTGTTTCAGTAACAGAGAAAAGCTTTAAAAATGCAAAACGCAACCGACGATTCTGTGATGGTTACTGAAGAAGAACATAACAATAGCCCAATCACCGAGTCGCCTACTGGGGGTGAGTCGGAAGTCGGTGGTGGAGCTGAGTCTGCTGAACTCGGTGGTGCTGGTGGCTTTGGAGGCGGTGGAGGTGGTGTTAGTGTGAGTAGTAGGGTGAAAGGACCTTGGTCTCCGGAGGAAGACTCAGTATTGAATGAACTTGTAGGTAAGTTTGGTGCGAGAAATTGGAGCTTGATCGCCCGTGGAATTCCTGGTCGGTCTGGTAAATCTTGTAGGCTTAGATGGTGTAACCAACTTGACCCTTGCCTCAAGCGCAAGCCTTTTACTGGTAAAGTGAATTTCTTTTCCCTTTCTTTTTTCCTTTTTTTTTTTTTTTTTTTTTTTTTTTTTTTTGGCTCTTGGAGGCCGGTGGAGTGGTGTTAGTGTGAGTAGTAGGGTGAGAAGGGACCTCTTGGTCTCCAGAGGCAAAGACCTCAGATATTGAGAATGAACTTCGCTAAGGTACAAGATTTGGTGCGAGAAATCGCGCGAGCACTTGATCGCCCGTGGAACTTCCCTGGTCGGTCTGGTAAAAATCTTCGTGAGGCTTAGATGGTGTAACGACAGCTTGCACACCTTGCCTGCAAGCGCAAAGCCTGCGTTCTCACTGGTTAAAGTGAATTTATTTTCCCTTCTTTGTGTCCATTTTTTTTTATATCTTTTTTTTTATTTTATTTTTTTAGGCTTTGGAGCTTTGTGGGGTTACTTTGATCTGCTAATGGTGATTATGGAGTTAATTGTTTGTATTCACGTTAGAGTGCGAGATATTGTTTTTTTTTTTTTTTTTTTTTTTTTTTTTTTTTTTTTTTGGCTTTGGGCTTTGTGGGGGTTTTGATCTGCTAATGGTGGATTATGGAGTTAATTGTTGTATTCACGTTAGAGTGCAGTATTGTTATCTTCTCTTTTTGAATCTGAACTTAATTCATATGCTTTGGTTTGCTATTTCGGTTGGTTTTTTGCTATTAATTTTAACTTTGTTTCTTTTCTATGTATCTCATTTAATTGTTATTTTGACATTTTTCTCTGTATTAGTTTTGGGATTCTGCTTGAATACTAATCCCTTATTGACTTTCCTTTTTTGATTATTCTATCAAATAACTAGAATGGGTGGAGATAATGATTGGTTTATGATTCGACATTAGAATGGATTAATAAGATTTTAGCACCATAGCTTGTCACTATGGTAGTAGAATGAAAGGAGGAAGTTAAACATCGTTAATTCTAGCATTGATCATTCTCCAACTATTGGCTCTATTTTTCTGGACTTGTCTTATAGTACCTGCATTGGAGTGTTCTGTTGGCTTGAGAAGGTACTCTTAGAGGCATAATATGGTTTTGGAGTATGTTCACAAATTGTATACCTGCGATCCAATCCTCATCATCAATTTTCTTTTCTTACTTATACTTGACACGAGTGGAAAGATCAAACCAGGTGCTTATAAGTTATAATCAGTGCAAGAACTATTTCTCATGCCTACATTAGTCTTAAACATGAAAAGTTGATTGTTGTCTTACAGAAAATAATGTGAAGGTCAGGCTTAGCAATTCTTGCTATGACAATAACCAGTAAGACAAGATCAGCCATAGTTGTACAAAAGCAAGATGTGTTAAAGTTCTTAAAATATCAGGTTATATAACTTGTATAGTAGAATGTTTAGAAAATCTTCTTTTGTTGATAGAGTCTTCTGTACTGCAAAATTTTGCTGTGCGTTGGCGTGATGTTTAATAACATCTTCTATCAATGATAGTAAGGATATAAGCAAGTTATGTATAAGTAGTTGGTGCTCTTGCAAGTGAGTTAGAGCTATTATTTGAACAAGAATGAGTGAGAGCTAAGTAGGATAGGATATCACCTACTAAGCTGTATGCTGGAGTTCATTTTTTGGAGAAAATGATTTAGTAATGGTCGATGCAGATGATTCGTAGCCCTTCTGAGTAGCTGAAGATCATTCTGAAAGACAAATTGCATAATTCATGTTTTGAATTGCTACTGACTATTTAACCCTGTGAGATCCAAGTAGATGTTATAAAACCACTTCCATGCACAGGTACTTGCATATGCTTCTTCTTTAACTCATATGATGATAAAATCAAAGAAATGGAATGACATGTATGGAACAATAAAGTTGAAAAAAGTGCGTATGTCTATAGGGAAATGATAAACTTATTTTGGGAGATATAACTAAGAATGTTTCTTGTATTGTGCGGGCATATCTAATGCAAATTTTGTACTCTCAATCAAGAGTTAAGTCATTCCAACTTGGGGGCTTTGCAGAATTGCTTTAGATATACTTTGCCATTTGCAAGCTTGGGTGTAGTAACTCTTAACTTTTTGAGTTTTTTGTTTGTTATTCTTTGAGTGCATGAGAAAACAGTATCTTCTTATGTTGTTATCACAATTATAATTACCTTTTCGTTTTCAGCTTTCTTGATCTTCCATGTCTATTATTATTAAGAGTCAAGCTCAATGATGTGAATGTGACCAGAATGTGGAAATTTATCACTTTATCAGCCAGATTTTTTTTTTCTCATTACCTTGCTTCATGGAATTTTCACTGCTTGTTATATTTAGTGCTTAATCTATCTCCAGTCATATGTGCACCATCACTATCACTGATGCTATGGTTATCAGGATGATTGGCATCCTTCTGGTTATATATATATTTGCATGTGAAGGATGCAGTGTTGCGAATACTGATATGCATGTGTCCTTTAGATCATCTATTTTTGGATGCAGATGGTGCAGTATGCATTAGGATTTAGGATTGATGTTCATGCATGTATCTTTCAATAGCTTATCATGCTCTATATGTTTATTTATTGATCATTATTAGTAGGAATGTTATGTAGAAACCAGGTTCAGAACTTCCTCTGCTTCATTTTGTTCGCATTATAATGAACCTGCTAGTTGGCATTATCTGTTCTCTAGAAGAAAGAAGGCGGTGGGGGGAGAGAAAGCACAATAGAAAAGAGAAATGGCTTGAGGTTGCTCACTATTCAATTTTGTTTTTCTGACTTCCAAATTTTGACTAAGGTAACTCTTATTGATCGAGTTATGGTTGTTAGGTAATTGCTATAGGAGAATCCAAACAAATGACACAAGAAGTAAAGGAGGGAGAGATCTTTCATGTGGTGCTAGTGTGGGGGTATAAGACGGCTGGAATTTGTTTGAATGTGCATAAAGTTGTCTTGAGATTTTTTTTCTTCTTTTATTGAAATATGCTAACAAAAAAAGAAATTGTTACTCTTTTTAGGTTTGTTATTGTAGTTGCTCTCCTATTTTTTTATCTCCAGCATTGTCACCTTATTTGACATTGATTAGTTCGAATACAGTTGGCCAAAGTTTTATTTGTTTGAAAATTGGTTAAAAACACTTGCAAATAATATCTGGATGCGATAGTTCGATGAATATGCCTGAACTTGGATATCTACATTTGCTTCTATATGATAACTTAAACTGATATGTGAATTTATTGAATTCATGGGATAATATGGTTGAGTTCTTCTGTTTGATAAGGGTTTCTATTATAGTTCATATTTATTTATGAGTTGTGACTCTCAGTAATAATCATAATGTTATGGATGTACGTGCATTGGGCAGATGAGGAGGATCGTATTATAATTTCAGCCCATGCAATCCACGGAAACAAATGGGCAGCAATTGCGAGGCTCCTGCCAGGCAGAACAGATAATGCAATCAAGAATCACTGGAATTCTACTTTGAGGCGTAGATGCATTGACCAAGGGAGGCTTAAACCAGGACCAAGTGATGCAACAAAAGATGGTAGCCGTGACAAAACAAAGGCATCATCCGAAGAAACTCCATCAGTTGGTACTGTCAATTCACTGAGGCCCCTAGAAGGAAGACGTTTCCCAATTGACGACCAACCTAGCCAGCAAGAAGACCAAGTTCAAAAAGACAATATCTCTCAATTAAATGCGAGTCGTTTTGTTTCTGAGCCTCAAGTTCATCCTACTCTCCCTCGTCCTAAAGCACGTGTTAGTGCATTTAGTGTTTACAGTCCTCCTAGTGGCCCAAAAATTGGCTGTGTGCATTCAAGATCAAATCCAACTCAGGGTCCTTTGGTTCAAGCTTCAAGAACAGATGTTGGACTTCACAAATTCCTTAAAGATATTAATGTTGATCCCGTGGTCCCTTTGCGATGTGGATATGGTTGTTGTTCAATGCCAAGTGGAAACCATCCTCCTCGCTCATTGTTGGGTCCTGAGTTTGTTGAATATGAAGAGCTCCCCTCTTTCTCAAGTCAAGAATTAGTTTCAATTGCTACAGACTTGAACAATATTGCGTGGATCAAGAGTGGCCTTGAGAACAGTAGCAGCGGAATACCAAGCACTGCTGCAAGCTACAGAATGTCTCAAGGGGCTTCTGTTGGCTCACAAATGGTGATGTCATCAGAACAGAATTTAAGAAATAGCCATATGGCTTATGAAGAGGGAAGAAACAAATTGATGGGGATGATGACAGATACTTTATCAACCCAGATGCCTGCACAACCTTTTGCAATGCGACCTGAAGTGGAGAGCTTAAGCTAAACTTGTAGCTGATTTCCTTTTTTGGTACTTCTTTTTGGGAAAAATATATAGAAGTTAAGAATATGATTTTGTGCAGAGGCTCCTTATCTGTCAGTGAAGAGATGGTGTCATTTGTTTAATAGATTCTGCTTCTGAAAAATGTATCAGAATTGATTCAGTAAGGAATGAAATTTGTTTATACAAATTATCCAGTGCTTATGTATTTCTCAGTCTTGATGATCTACTATATAATGTTTCATTTCATTTAAAGCCATAATCTTTTTCTTTTCCAAGTCGTTTGTCAAACTGTGTACTTGAACATGCAAAACTTGTTTAGGAGTTAGTTGAGGAACGTGCTTTTCAATGAACAGGTGCTGTATGAGAAGCAGTTCCTCATTGTATTTCCTCTCATTTTTATCCCAATGAACTTCAACTCATTAAAATTGAAATGTCTAGCTTGAGTGGCCTTTCAAATTTGCCCTAGGAGCGTTACATAAAAGTTTAAACAAAAAATGCATTTAAATGGGTTGTTCATCAATTTTCACTTAACTTATTGCCGCTATAAATTATGAACATCTTTCTCCTTCAGTCCTCCCTGTGGCATATATAATAAATAACAGAAGGTCGATCCTCTGCCAAGTGGTCTCCTGTCTGTCTACAGATTTACAAATTTGACCAAAATGTTTAACTTGAGACAATCCCTTATTCACATAAGGTTAAATCTAAAGTTGGGCCTAAAAATAATCATGCACAATCATGAAGCTGCTCCTGCTGATCTGCCACAACTCTTCTTTTAATAAAGAGATGAAGCAACCCTTATTAAAACACATGATTACTACTGAAAGTCCATTTTACCCTTAAACAGTAAGAACTTATACGCTGAAGTAGGAGGACAGTGTAGGACTCTTGGCTCTTAGAGCTTAAAAAATCAGGAGGAGAACAGGTCCATTAGGTAATTAAAAAATAAAAAAGTACCAAACACTCCTAAAATACAATAAAGCACTGAAGAAGACAAATAAAAATCTGCTTTTCCCACATACATTATCCCATGCTGTCTTGAGGGAAAATAACAGTTTTAACAGGACACTGCAACATCAAATCATCCCCTAAATCCTTCACTTTTTAGCAATTTTCTTTTTCCCTCAATCATTTTATAGCTGTCCATGTTATATTTCCCTGCTGCATCTCTAGCCAAATTAACATAGAGCAAGTAAATTACTAAAGGGCAGAGCTTTACACTCAAAAATAGAAAAATAAGGGAAAGGAAAGGAAAAAAAAAAAAAAATCTTTCATTACCTATTATTTCTCCTACTCTCTGCACAATACTGTATTTTCTCTTTTGATCTTTCTGTCTCCACTAAAAATTCTGTTCAGAACCGACAGACTTCAAAGGGAGAGAGAGAGAGAGAGAGAGAGAGAGAGAGCACCTGCCAACAGTACAGTAGTTACCTGTGAGAGCTTACATAAGAGTTACTTTGGTGGGTGTTTATGATATTTGCCTCGCAAAACCATTACATGAAGATTCACCATTTGGGTCTTGAAAATGGAACCTTTACAAAAACCCCATGTGGCTGTTGATGATGAAGATATAGAGGGAAGTGGTCACCACCACCAGTCAGATGATGAAGAGCAAAGAAGCTCTTCAAGTGAGTCTGGCTCTAGCAGTGAGATTGTTAAGGAGAACAGATCCTCTGTGTCAGAGGTGGATCTGGAGTGTGGGCTGCCTGAGATTAAGGTACATTTGGCAAAGGTTGAAAGAGATTGCAGGATTTGTCATCTGAGCATGGATGCAGGGAATCAGGATTCTGGTTTGCCTATTGAGTTGGGATGTTCTTGCAAGGATGATTTGGCTGCTGCTCACAAACAGTGTGCAGAAGCCTGGTTCAAGATTAAGGGAAACAAGTAAGTAGCTAAAAGAGAACAAACATTATCTTTTTACATTCGTTGTCATTTTTCTCTTCTTTTTAATTTTAAGTTCTATTCGTAGCATTTGAACATCAAATGCTTTTGGCATTTATGAAATTCTGGGTAAAGTATTGATCTTGCTAATGGTCATTTACTTCATAAAGAGGCCAACTTAATTTTGGTTCTGTTTTCTCTTAAGTTTTCTTTCTTTTTTAGTTAGTTTGTTTCTAGAGTAGTGCTGCACAAATTTATACTGTGGCAAAAGTGTACAGGCACACTCACTAGTGCACTGTGCTGACAAGTCATAGTTAGATAGGGATTATAACTTGATGAATGATTTTAAATTTGGTGAAATAATTGACGCAGTAAAAGATTGTTATGAGAAGTTCTTTTGTTGTGGCATTTGTCAGTTGTCTAGGCAAATAAATATTGTTAGCTCCATGGTTTTTGTTTTTGTTTGTTCTCTAAAGTTGATTTTCCATATTATGTATAAGCAATTCAGCATTACATTGTGCAGCAATATTTGATTAAAGTATTGGCAGCTAGGATCATTCTGATAGACATGGTAACGAAACATGTGAATAAAAAATATCTTTTCTTCAGTTAATGGAAATAATTTTCAGAATAAACTCCACTTTTATAGATTAAAGAGAAAAAGATGCAAAAGCAGCTTGTGCATGAATCAAGAGAATAAGAAATAATTAAATCAAAAGATAAAACCAATAGATTGTCCCACCTGTATTTCCAATTTTGAAAATGGGTCAAATCAATCTTTGCTTGATTGTGATTTAAATTATCCAAACATATGCATCCTTTTCTTCTTTATCATTTCAGTTAAGAGCAAGCCATGTAAGCTGTTATTCTCTGTTTGTTAAAAATGCATCTCCGGACCTTGCACTCAGTACTCTTAAAATGCATGCATTTAAGAGATTTAATCTGTACTCCCATTGTGTCATGTTGTCCAAATTGATCATATCTAAGATATTGTAGTTTTGTGACATGCATGGCTTTATGTGAAGAAAAATCAACTAAAGTAGTTTAATGATAATTTGTTTATAAGTTAGACAAGTTTAGTTAGATGGTCTGAGTCAATGGCCATTCCTGTTTGAAGATTGTCTCCTGCGTTTTAGCGCTTGTTATACCAAATGTACAATAATTAATGCTTTTTTTTTTTTTTTTTTTTTTTAAACATGTGAATAAAAAATATCCTTTTCTTCAGTTAATGGAAATAAATTTTCAGAATAAACTATGCCACTTTTATAGAATTAAAGAGAAAAAGATGCAAAAGCAGCTTGTGCATGGAATCAATGAGAATAAGAAATAATTAAATCAAAAGATAAAACCAATAGATTGTCCCACCTGTATTTCCAATTTTGAAAATGGTGTCCAAATCAATCTTTGCTTGATTTTGATTTAATATCCAAACATATGCATCCTTTTCTTCTTTATCATTTCAGTAAGAGCAAGCCATTGTAAGCTGTTTATTCTCTGTTTGTTAAAAATGCACTCGGACCCTTGCACTCAGTACTTCTTAAAATTGGCATGCATTGTAAGAGATTTAATCTGTACTCCCATTGTGTCATCGTTGTCCAAAATTGATCATATTCTAAGATATTTAAGTTTTGTGACATGCATGGCTGATTGTGAAGAAAAATTCAACTAATAGTAGTTTGAATGATAAATTTGTTTTATAAGTTAGACAAGTGTTAGTTTAGATGGTTCTGAGTCAATGGCCATTCCGTTGGAAGATTTGTCTCCTGCGTTTTAGCGCTTTGTTATACCAAATGTACAATAAATTAATGCTTTTTTTTTTTTTTTTTTTTTGGTTTCTCCCTTATTAATTAATTGTTATGCTAATTAATGCATTTAACTTCGTTACAGCCATATTATCTCTTTGGAATAAATCATGAAATGAGAAAAAGTCATAAATATATATATATATATATATATATATATATATATATATAATATTAACTACATTTAAAATTATAATGTTGCTGATATATACATTTATAAATTATAATGTGCTGTTTTTATAATATATGGTTTACTTTTAATTTGGGCTCTTTTTTATGATGCTTCTCACTTTGTCCAAGTTGGAAATATTGTTTGTTTGTGGACATTACAAAAGCAGACATTCCCTAAATTTTCATATCTGCAATAATCTGGCATTGTTTCTTGTTATGACATTAATTAGATTGCGAAGTATCAGTATATCATGCCTATTTTATTTATTACCTGTGATATAAACATTTCATTTTCACCAAATTTGAAGTTTTAGGCATATTTTCTCAGTTCTGTTTATTTCAACCATCCTTGTTTTATATAGTGCCCTTGGGTCAAAGGGACATGGATGGACAGGCTTGAAAATGTGAATAGTCTGCATCAGGAGTGTCAAAACATTCTTCTAAAATAGCTCATTCAATTTCTCTATCTTACATCACTTGTGCGAAGACTTCACGACCTTTTTACAACCTATTAGTCCCTGTAACTTTGACACTCAGGTTTTAAGGTTGATCTTGGGTTTTTAATGTGGTATCACAGTTTATTTTATTCCACATCATCTGTGCAAAGAGCTAAAGACACTGATATGTTATTTTCTTTCAGTTTCTTGCACAAATGCTTGAGAATCGGATCATATCCAGATATCGCTCCTATAAGCATTCTACCTAGAATTATAAGTTGGTGATGGCTTTTAGTTTCAGTATAAGTATAGAATGAACTAGAATTGACAAGCACAGAAACTTCTAAAAGGACAACATTCTCGTCTGGGAGATATTGCAGATACTGAAACTTCTCTGGAAACGTTTCATAAACCTCAAAAAATATTTCCTATTAATTTTTAGTTTAAAAAAATTTTGGAAACTATTTCGAACGCTTGGAAACCTTGTGGAAACTCTTGAGGATACTTTCTGGAAACTAGAGGAGTGTTTTTATAATATATTATAAATCTTAAAATGTGTTTTACTTGTAGTGTTTAAAGAGGTTAGACTTAGAAAGAAATGAGAAAAACCTACTTTTCTTGTCGATGATTCTTATTGAAAGATATTAATTAGCAGGTTTTTAATATGATTGATTTATGTAGAGTAGTTCAAAACATTGATATGGTTATTCTTTACTATCAAATCTTTGAAACTGATTTTCGTGTGTAATTGCAGAACCTGTGAGATTTGTGGATCACTTGCAAGAAATGTTGCTGGCCCAAATGAGGTTGAATTGGTAGAACAATGGAATGAGGTGAATGAAACTGCAGTAGCAACAACACTTCCACATGTGCACACAACAGAAACCCGAAACTTCTGGCAAGGTCATCGGTTCTTGAACTTCTTGCTAGCTTGTATGGTCTTTGCCTTTGTCATTTCTTGGCTCTTTCATTTCAATGTACCCTCATAATCCAGTGATTAAGTAATGTATTTTTCTTTAGTTTGATGACTGAAGAGATTCCCAACACCTTAGTTCTTAAAGCCTATATATGCAGATATCAACTGTCATTTGTTATTTGAGTCCCCTATCTATGAGCTGTTTATATTAGCATCAGAGATTTGAACAAACACTTCCATTTTATATAATCAAGATTCAAGAACATTTTCGTGTGTCGATTTAACTTTTTTTCCCTTATATCTTATGTATGACAATGCTTGCTTATTATGTTTTGTAAAATAAAAAAAAAGATGAAATTTATATATGCATAGACTTGTTCATGGTGGGGTTGGAATTTGGAAAATATGAAGTTAGTTTTAAAAATTAATTGTAGGATTATCCTGTGGCATATAAACTAATCAATAGTAATTGGGCACATAAATAAATTATTCAAGACCAGTGTTCTGAGAATCGAATCAGTCAGTGAACCGATGAAAGTAGAATTCACTAGAATTCACTAATTTGGAGGGTTTGACCGATTTTAATACGGTTGAATCAGATTTTTTTATATATAATATTTTTAAATATAATTGAAAATATAGTTTACAAATATAAATATAGTTTACAAATATAACTTTTGATATCAAATAAAAAATAGTTTCAAATTTGGCTTTTACAAAAAAATAAAAAGTTAATAAATAATTTTAAATAAAAAGAATAAAATATGACTAAATTTAATAGCAAAGAATAATTAATTACCATAAAACATATTATTATTTTTCATATATGGCTTTAAAGTTAGACATTTAATTGTTTTAACCAACATATTAAGACTTTGAATTTAGAAATAAAGAGGCCCAAAAACTAAAAAATAAGTGGGGCCAATTTCTAAGAGGCCCAAATTTTAAAAAGGCCCATGTTTTATAAAAACAATTCAGAATTTAAATCGAACTGATTTTTAGCCATCTAGTTTACTGGTTTTCACCCGTTCAGACCGGTTTTTTAAACTTTCAATTTTTTTTATGCAATTCGAACTGGATCACAGTTCCGTTCTCGATTAAACCGGTCAAATTGACGGTCTGGTAAATTTTCCAGAACAATGTTTACAATAATACAATAATAATTATCACATAATGTGTATTTTAGTAATTTATAGGATTTGCAACGAGTTGAGTCAGGACGAGTTATACCCATAACAGCATAAATCTCGGACCATCCTTGGTTAATAAATTACAATCTCCATCTCCACCCTGCCTAATAAATTTTATATTTTTTACAATATAAAATATATTTATACATATATATACATATATTTACATTAGACAGTAGCGGATCTAAAAATATTTTTTTTTGGGATCAATGTATAATTTTTTTGAAAAAAAAGAGTCAAAACATAAAAAAATTAAAATTTACGGATTAATTTAGATAAATAAATATATATATTAGAAAATTAAAAAAACAAATCTGCCACTGACATTTTCCACAAGTAACTATTAATTTTGAGATAAATGATAATTCAGTCAATTAGCTTTGATTTTAATATAATCTAAGAGAATTAATTACTTTCTTAATCCTTATTTAAAAACTTTAAACCATTTATATGTTGGAACAGAGTAGTTGTTAAACATTGAATGGGATCTAAGCAAGCCAAAAAGAGCATTGATTTGGTCTGCATGAACCCATTATTTATCAAATAAAATTTCGAGTGGTAAAGGCAACTGAATCTATGCAATAATATATGTTGTCCCCTATTCCTTTCTTTCATACCTGTTTCCAATTCCATGTTTCTACATAAAGGTAGGGGTCCCCATTTTCCCATTTTTGAAACCTGGTTTGAAACCGAAGGGAACCGAAATCGAAACCGTGAGGAATCGAAATTGAAATCGGAGTCTGCGGTTTGGTTTCGATTCTAACTTTTGAGGAACCGTGAATGATGGTTTCAAGAACCGATCAGAACCAGTGGTTTTTTTAACTGGTTAGAATTGACGATTCCGATGGATCTAATCGGCGGTTCCACCCAGTTTCAATAAATTTTTTTATAAAATCTCAAAATTAACTTTACTAACAACTATATAATGGCTAGTTTTAAGGGTATTTGTGAAAATTTAATTTTTTGGATTTACTATAAATAGCCCATTTCATTTTAAAAAAAAATTAGGTTCAAGCCTTTTTTTTAATAAATAAATTAAGTTAAGCATTTTTTTTTAATTTTTTCTAAAAATTATTTCATAAATATTTAAATTTTAAATTTTCAACAAAAAAATGTTTTCTAACTTTTGATTTTATAATGCCGTAAAATCAATTGGAGAATCCACCGGGACCATTTATTTGAAACCGTTAGAAATCGGAATTGGAACCGTAATCGTTTGGTTCCAAATCGTAACAGGAACCGTCAATTTTCAGTTCGATTCCAGTTCTAGATTTTTTGAAACCAGAATCGAAACCGGCGGTTTCAGAACAGTGGCCACCCTATAAATAAAGGGGTAAAATGGGAATGGGGCATATCTAGTTGAGAGAGTCACTCCTTAATTATTGGAATAACTCTCAAAGTGGGCAATTCACTTGCTACATTATCACTTGATTGATGTAATTAAAGGCAGAATTGAATTAATTTTGAAGATGGAAAAAAGCCAACTAAAAAAAAGGTAGTAGAATAGAGCTTAAGTGAAATAGCTGTAAGGCAGGAATTGCCTGTAAGCCATAACCAACTTTGACATTTGATGGATTTCATCAACTAACAATCTCTCATTTCAAAATTATAATAATTTTAGGAGGCATTGGAGTATAAAGATTTTTTTTTATTATTTTCTAGTAAAATGCATTTTCCAAATATCAAATTTATATTATTAGGGATTAACAACTCTTATCAACCAATTTCAAGCATCATTTTAGAAATTTTTTTTGGTTTAATTCTAAAAAATTAATTAATTAATAGTTGTATAAAATTTTGCAAATTTTTTCAAAAAGAATATTTAGTAGTATATAATAAAATTATAAAAGTATGGTCCCACCCAGCCAGCTAAACTCCAAAAACACTTTTAAACATAAAAGGGACACACTGCCAATCTAGCACTAACAAATAGATAAAGAGACATGGGAGTTAGGGATGACTAGTCAGATTAAGTCAGTATGCCTGTCCCTGCGATCAACAAGCCGCAATTACCGCTATTTAACCATAATATATTAAAAAACTAAAAAAAATTCAATTCAAAATTTTTTTTAACCTGCCAATATTACAAACACAAACACTAGCATATTTGTTGAACCGCAGTAGAATGTAACATGATGTAATTAAATATATTTTTTATGTAAAAAAAGCATTTTTAATATAGTATTTATAGTGTAAAAAAATATTCTTTTATTAGACGAAATAACATCGCAAATTGTGGGCTACACAAGGATAGCTCTTCCCTTAACTCATCAAATTGTTGAAAATAATTTGTGATCGAGAAGACTCGAATTCGAGATTTCTTACTCCTCACATAAATGAGAAGCCAACTAGACCACCACGTGATTAACAATAAGAATTAAGAATTAGGTTAATTAAAAGTACATTAGTAATTAATAATGAATGACAATAATCTTCATTAAACTAATCAATCTTTCAATTACAATTTTTCTATAGTAGTTGTAATTTCTGGTTGAAGCAAAATCAAGAAGCAGAATCAAAATAATTGGAAATGATAAAGATTTAGTTAATAATTAGTTTAACTAAAAAGAAGAATGGCAGTTTCTGGGTAGACATGTGATAGATCTGCTCAAACATGGGGGAACAAACATTACAAAGGAGGAACCCATTACATATATATATATATTTCATATTTGATTTTAGTTTCATGTTCATTGTCGTTTACAATTATTGTGGACCCTATGGAATAATCCACGTTTGCATGTTCTATTACCTACCTTACATGTGAGACTCCCATATATACACTTACTAACGTAAATCAATCTATCTTACTAAATTTTTTTTCTTTTCCTTTTGCACAATATCAGAGTGACCTAACCGGTAAGTCACACTTGAAATCAGTAGACAAATTCAGAGATTTAATTCGAAGAAAAGTACTTATAGAAAGAAAAAAGTAGTTATCAATTCCGAAATATGAAAAAATATCTATGGAAAAAGACAGTCATGAGCTCTTAAAACGAGATTAGTCGAGAAAAAAATGAATAAATATTATAATTAGGGTAGTTGAGTATTTTAGATGATTACAATGAATAAGATATTGTTAAGTTACTTATCAGTAAATCAACATGTTAATTACTTGATATGAGGATTATGAAACTTTTGATGAAGTAAACATCCTCCTGATACATAGAATGTGTCAAAGGCAATCCAAATAATTAAATTATCCAAGAACGTGCGCAACATAATTGGATTCCAATTTTTTAAAGCTCAGAAATCATAATCTTTGGATCCTCCGATGAAAAATCTAAAAATATTCTTGCTGTCTTCATACCCAATTTAGATAAATAAAATAATAATGCAGGAACAAAATTCGGAAAACCAGCTAATACAGCACGGCGGACGCGACACAAGTTTACAGTTGATTGTCTTACTAACCACCGGATGCTCCGGCAACCGGCATGTTTAGCCGACATTTTTTAATTTTAATAAGCTTTATTATTGATTCTTATCCAGTTTAATCCTAATTAAGCTTGAAGAGTTAGAAAACTTCTGTTAAAGACAGCAGCAAAGTGTTCATTGTATTGGAAGGACAGCTGCTTTAAGTTATTGGATCTCCTTTCCTTAAAGCTCTCTTTCTTTCTTTTTTTTCTTCCTTTATAAATAAAAGTACTTTTGCTAAGTTAAAAGAAACTTTAATGTTTTATGATTAGATTGGAAAAGATGGATACATTATATATCTCATCGATATTTAAAAAATGGAAAACATTTTTTCACAATTTGTACCAGTCACAGTCACAATGTAAATGGAGTAAAAAGATTACAATGTGTTTGAAATTTTTTTTAACAGTTTTGATATTGCTAATGTTATACAAGAAATGTAATTGTAAATGCACGCAGAAATGTGCTATTAAGTGAAGCATTTAAAAAAAAAAAAAATCTTCTACATCTTCTTTTTCGCACTATTCCCTATTTTGAATCTCTTGACCTAAAGAAAGTAAAAGGGAAAAATCAGAAATTGAAGGGAAAAAAATAAAATAGTTAGCTAGAGTGTGTCAAGGTTTAAGTTAGATTGCAAGTCCAAAAATTACAACAAATTTATTGCCAATCTAGCACCATTTTTTTCCTAAAAGAAAACAACTCCATTAGCAACTGTTCATCTGAAATCAAAGATTTCAATGCAAGACCTGGTTATCAGATTTTCATTTTTTAAAAATTCAAAACTTGCATCCAAAATATATCAAATTCTTATCTCTAAATTTGACGAAATTGTACTTTCAATATGAAAAGGATTAAAAGCCTACCGACCCATAAGAGAAACAGACATAATTGAAATTAAATTGAACTATATACTTAAATTATTTTGACCTAGGTTAGTTAGCAACATCTACGGTGTAAAAAGGGAGTAGTAAGTCAAGCCCTTTAACAAAGACAAGGAATACAAAAATGACATTCTAGAAATTCAAATGATCAAAAGCGACAGTAATGCTTATGAACACAAATTTCTTGAGCAAAATTTCAACCATAGTTTGGTGGGAGATTAATTAAAACATGAAAAACTAAAGAGAAAATTGGAAAATAACCAATATTAATTGGTAACAGAACATGCATATACGACGAACCCACCAAAATTAAAGTCGTAGCTTCAAATATTCTTAATTAGTTATTGCTTAACAATCCCTAATCCTTCGACAAACTTGATTTGTCCATAATTATTATCTAACATAAAAATATTGTTAGTATTATTATAAAGCAAATTAAAGAGCGTGCAAACACGACTTAAAGAAAGTATATCACGTTAGTACTGGCCAATGGTCGGTTAATATGTTTCAGTAGCTGCCTCAACACACAAATATACTCATTCTATACACTTCTCTCTCCCTTTGTATCGAAGTCTCTCTTTTCTTTAGTAATCAAAAACTCTCAAAGCAGAAGCAAAAACTCTCGTCTTTCTGTGACAAAAGTACCAAGAAAATTTTGATCTTGTACCTTATATCTTTCTTTCTTTGTTCTTTTAGCGCTTCTTGAACCTTTATGTGTCAAGATTACCAAGAAATCATCTTTCTGTGCCAGGAGTACCAAGAAATTATTAATCTTGCTATATAGCTGCCTTTCTTGAATCTTTCTTTGCCAAGAAAATTTTGAATCTTTTCAAAATGAGGAAACTTTGTCCAAATTTTGATCGAGAAGATGGGCTGGACACTGTGCTTGAGGTTCCTATTCCAGAAGAAATGTTTGCTTCAAACAAGAGCGGGAATAGGTCATGGCAAAACTTGAAAGCTTGGATGAGACCGAACGCTAATAGTGAGAGGTCTATGGCTAACCTATTTGGTGGTAGAAATACAGAGATCCAGCTCTTGCTTGGTGTTGTTGGTGCTCCTCTGGTTCCTCTTCCTATTTGTTGTGATCACCAATTCAAAAACCGTAATTTCATAGACCAACCTATTGTAAGTGTTATCCATCAACCATTTTTGATGTTTTTGTCAGATTACATTGATTTAGAATACGATCAATAACCCAGAGGTCCAGTAATCGAGATTTTATCTTATAATATAGGAAATCAAGATTCAATTCTTCATAGTTAAAGATGAGTAATTTTTTTCAAAATTTGTGGTTGCAGGAGGCATCAATGGCAAAGTACATAGTGCAGCAATATATAGCAGCAGTGGGAGGGGAAAAGGCATTGAATTCTATAGACAGCATGTACGCAATGGGAAAGGTAAAAATGGGAGCATCAGAGTTTTGTGCAGGAGAAGGGAGCTTGAAAGATAGTAAGGTGGTGAAAATGAAGAATTTGATGAATGGAAGTGGTGGAGAGATGGGAGGATTTGTCCTTTGGCAAAAAAACCCTGATTTATGGTGCTTGGAACTAATTGTTTCAGGATGTAAGATTAGCGCGGGTAGTGATGGTAAGGTTGCTTGGAGGCAGACCCCATGGCACCATTCCCATGCCTCTAGAGGCCCTCCTAGGCCGCTTAGGCGCTTCCTTCAGGTAATTTATTTAATGTTACCGTTCTAATTATTGTCAAGAAAAATATCATGTTGAAAGTATATATTAATTAAAATGATCTTTAGTGTTCTTTATTCTTTTCTTTTTTAGTTATTTTATATTGTTGGACAATACTTTTTCAGTAGCTTGAATTAGCTTTTTGAGTTAATTTAAAGATTAACTACTATAATTTTTAATTTTTATCTCTTATAAAAAGTTAATCAAATAGTAAATTCGTACATTTTATATATATTTTTTCTTCCGATTGTTTTGAAAGAAAGGAAGAGTTTGGTAGGGAGTCTAGGGCCTAGGGGCATGAATTCTATGTTCAAATTTGCATCAAAGGCTCATGTGGGACCAATATAATAAAATTATATAGTTGTTAGCTTATCCTTAGCCACTAAGCCCTTGATCTTAATGAGAAAGTCAACAATCTTAGTGGTCTAAAGTATAGTTCATAAAAGTCAACACCATAGTTGGGCTGCTCAACCAGTTGAAGTTTGGTAGTTAACAAATGCCCATATTGATATGTTAGTAGATCATGGGCTCTCTTGTTTTCAAATAGGCCCAATTGCAAAGCCCATTGTGTCTTATATTTTCTGGCATAAAAATGCATAGCTTAATTATGAGTTATGTTATACGCTGATATACATATATTTTTACAAAATTCTAAGCAAGTTGATTCAATATCAACAGGGTCTTGATCCAAAAACAACAGCCAACTTATTTTCCAACTCCATATGCGTCGGCGAGAAGACGATTGGCGACGAGGATTGCTTCATACTAAAACTTGAAGCTGAACCTTCATTATTAAGAGCAAGAAGCTCAAGCAATGTGGAAATAATTAGACACACAGTTTGGGGTTACTTCAGCCAAAGAACAGGCTTATTGGTCCAGTTAGAAGACTCTCACCTTCTAAGAATCAAAGCCTCAAGAAATGAAAGCATTTTTTGGGAAACAACAATGGAATCCAAAATTCAAGATTATAAAACCATTGATGGTATGATTAACATAGCACATGGAGGTAGAACATCAGTAACGTTGTTCAGGTTTGGTGAGAACTCAGAAAGTCATTCAAGAACAAGAATGGAAGAGATTTGGAATATAGAAGAAGTGGATTTTAATATAAAAGGGTTGTCTATGGATTGCTTTTTGCCTCCTAGTGATTTGAAAAAAGAAGCTGAAGATGGAGGATATGGAGTTGTTTCTAGTAACGCAAAATTCCCATTAAAGATGAGATCAGCTTCTACTAGAATTAGTGCATCTAAGGTAGTTGCTCTTGATGTTGATGATTCTGATACAAGTAGTGAAGATGATGATGATGATCAAGATTGAAATTTTTGTAAATTTCTTTTTGATTTTGTACATAAAATATCCATCATGATTTATATGTTTTCTTTATTAAAACCAAGAGTTTTGAAATGATAAAATATATTAAAGATCAGATTCCTAGCATCCATGTAAAAGATACCCTTTTTTTAAAAAAAAAAAAAAATCTTCATAAAAGATTGTATGTAATGTATAAAATTTTAATTCCCAACTAATTGAAGTGAACTCATGAATCTTTTGTCTCTATTTCATATATTCATAGCTAAGATTCGCACTAGTACCAAGACAGAAAATCTTTATGACAACCCTTTCATAATTCAGATCTATCCCTTCTTTCTTTTTTTTTTTTTATAGTAAAGTAGATTATAATATTATAATAAATCATGAGCAATAATATCGTTAATACATTGGGGAGTCGAGTCCCATGAATGGAAACAAGGATGTAAACATGCCACACGAGTAAAAGTATGTGCAGGCTTGTTAACTTGCCTCCTAATCCAAATCAATTCACACGATGGAATTTGAGAAAACAAATGTTTAATCTCTTCTAATACTGGTGCCCAATCTGAATAAAGTTCAAAGCCATTCGTCACCACTTGAAACAGTCGCAAGCAATCGGTTTCCCAGCAGAAATACACAGCTATTATGAATTTAAAACATATGAAGGACATGAGCTAAAAAAAAAAAAGACTTTTATTTTCAAGTATGATATTTTATTTTCTTTTCAAAAAAAAAAAAGTATGATATTTTATTTGATTAATAGAAAATTTTGAAATACGTATACAAATAAGTCATCAACAATGATATCACATATATTCCATTACCTTTACACTTTTTGAATTTTCAGAGAAAATAAGAATATGATTAGATCATTTTAATTTTTTTGAAAAAATAAGAAAATTTGATTAAATTATTCTTTAATTAATATTTTATAACTGAAAAAGAAAAAATTAATCGAAATATCTAAATAAGGGAAAAATTGAAATAACATAATTAAACCACTTGAATTTTATAATATATCCTCTAAATAGTAAAAAAATCAATAAATATCAAAATTAAAGGAACAACGATAGTAGCATTAATGAAATATTAAAAAGAAAAAGAGAGAGAATGAAGTTTTTTTTTTTTTTTTTTTTTTTAATGAAGTATTGTTTTTTTTTTTTTTTTTTTGATTTTTTTTTTTTTTTTTTTTTGAAGGAAGGAGAATGAGGTTAGTTAAAAAAAAAAAAAGACAATTTTTGAAATATAATTTTTCATGAAAAAACAGAGGATTCTAAATAAGGGAAAATTTTACTTAGGCTGACTCCTGTCCGTGAGAATAAGATTTTTTAGATGATATTTCTGACCAGATAAAAAAAAAAAAAAAAATCAAAACACTTTTTTAACAAATCCGATTACTTTGATCCATAGGAGTATTCCGGTCTGGTCAACTAATTTCCTATGTAACATATACTATCTAGAAACGTCCAAGAACACATCTTTAACATTTTCCCACGTCTTAACCACAAAGCACAAGTGTGAGCAACAACCGGGAACTCTCTATAATAGTAAAGACAGATCCATTCACCTACCATTACACTTGGTCCTAATCCTAATCCGCCAAGCAATTATCAAAATCAGAATCTCGATATTCAATCACTACTTCACATCACACTGGAAAATGTCGATTAGTTCCTCTTCCCCAGTAGCTGTCGATCGGACAGCTTCGACCCATTTTTCGATAGAGACTGGGACCCGTTGGAGGGAGTCCCTTTGCATCCCCCCGACAGCGACTGGGACCCGTTGGAAGGATTCCCTTTCCATCCCTTCGCCAATAGCCCTAACTTCCCTCCCTTCTTCTTTTCCAAAACGTCGTCGTTCGCCGGGGCACGCGTCGACTGGAAGGAAACGCCAACTGCTCATGTTTTCAATGTCGACGTCCCTGAACTAAGGAAAGAGGAACTAAAAGTGGAGGTTGAAGACGGAAGGATTTTGCAGATCAGCGAAGAAAGAAGCAAAGAAGAAGAATCGTCAGGGGACACGTGGCACATAATTGAGACAAGCAGCGAAATGATACCGCGAATGCTAAAGCTGAAGATTTAAAGGCCAGTATGGAAAATGGAGTACTGACTGTGACCGTGCCTAAAGAGGAAAAAAAGAAGGGTAACGTGAGGTCCTTCCAGATTTCTGGTTAAAACAACTCTCTGGTCCGAACCTGGATTTTAAATACGTTCATTTTCCTTGTTCTATTTAAAGAATGATTTTTTTTTTCGTCTTTTTGTGAAAATCAGCGTCTGTTATTTTGTGTAGATGTCTCTTTCGAGTAATTGCTGCAGAATTTATAGAGTTTTAAGTAACGATTTATATAATTTTTAATAATATAAATATTACACAATTTAAATTTTAATGATACATGCAATTATTATTTTATATTAAAAAATTATTATTATTTTATATTAAAAAAATTAAAATTTTTTGTATTAAATTAAATTATTAGTATTAATAATATAATAATTGAAAATTTATAACAACTGTTAAACTATTTAAATAAATTTGTTTATTCATAAATTTTATGATTCTTAATAGTTAATTATTTTATTATAATTTTAATAAATCAAATTAATAAATTTTACCGTATTTTTTTAACTTTTAAATTATTTCTATAAATTTTTAATATTTTTAATGCATATTCTTAATATGTTTTTTATAATTAATTTTTATTTTTAAATAATAAAAAATCACACTATATTTTTTTTACTTATTGATATTCTTTCATAAATATTTTTTAATAACATAATAAAAGAAATTTTATTTAAAAATCTATAAATTATATATATTTTCCATTTTTTTTAACCTGTGCATGGCACGGGCAGATCGCTAGTGAAAGAGAAAATAAGAAGAGGTGAAAGAAAATATTACGTGTGGCAGTTAAATAATGAATGTATATCTATGGTAACCAAAACATATACCGGCGGTCTATAACCTAATATTTTAGAATTTTCTAATTATAAACATAGTCAATAGTAAACTGCTTTTTAATAATTTAATTAAGATAATATCAAAATATGAAAGAAAAAGTTATATTGAGAGTGATTAAAAAAAATAAATATTCACATTAAGGCACATAACCAGTGATAAAATATGTATAATCTAACAAGTTGTTCGGACACAAATTCTAAAGATCAAATATGTAGAAAATTCATAAAACTCACATACGGAAAAATCATAATAATGTTTCATCTATAGACTATAAATGCATAGAGGGTTAAAAATGTACATTTTGCTATCATATTAATTTCTCTTCATAATTTGGAAGGTTCCAAATAAAAGAAAATAAATTACTTTCCTTCCTCTATTTTCCTTTCAATCGAAATATAAAACAGAACAAAAAGGAACAGAAGTAAATAGTCAATCCTTCCGTATTTTCTTTCCTTATTTTCCTTCCTGACTTATTTTCTTTCCTTTCTGGGAAACTGACATAATATTATACATGGCCCTAATCTTAATTTGCAGCAATCATCAAAATCAGAATCTCAATATTCAATCACTACCGCACTATCACACTGCAAAATGTCGATCAATTCCTCTCCCAGTGGCCACCGGTCGGACATCTTCGACCCATTTTGGGACCCGTTGGAGGGATTCCCTTTCCATCCCCTCATCAATGGCCCTGACTTCCCTGCCGAAACGTCGTCGTTCGCCGGGGCACGGGTCGATTGGAAGGAAACGCCAACTGCTCACGTTTTCATGGCTGACGTCCCTGGACTAAGGAAAGAGGAACTAAAAGTGGAGGTTGAAGACGGAAGGGTTTTGCAGATCACCGGAGAAAGAAGCAGAGAAGAAGAATCGTCAGGGGACACCTGGCACATAGTTGAGAGAAGCAGCGGTATGTTCTCACGGCGGTTCAGGTTACCGAAGAATGCTAAAGTTGAAGATTTAAAGGCCAGTATGGAAAATGAAGTATTGACTGTGACTGTGCCTAAAGAGGAAGAGAAGAAGGGTAGTATAAGGTCCTTCCAGATTTCTGGTTAAAACAACTCTCTGTCCGAACCTGAATTTTAAGTATGTTCCGTTTTCTTGTTCTATCTAAAGTATGAATCTTTTTTTTTCCTCTTTTTGTGGAAATCAGCTTCTGTTACTTGGTGTAGATGTTATCTTTGAGTACTAAAAAATAAAAATAAAATTGCGCTGGTTTCTTGCCTACATTGAATTCTTATCTGCTCTTTTATGCAATTAAATATACAGCAATAACTGTTATTCCAACACAGTTGGAGATAGGCTATATGAAAACTATTCAAACATCAAATAAGCATTCCAATTTTCATCATAGTGATGCAAACACAGAAAACTACTACTAGTTACTCATTTACATGTACTTGTTACCTTTACATAGGCTTTCGATCGATAGCTTAGACTTTGCACGCAACCAACAAAAAAATACAAACAAAAAGCACCAAAACGCAACATACATCCAAATTTCGCAAAACGCTCACCCCTAGTACTGTATTTTAGTCATACCCATAACTCCAGAAGCTGCAGCGTTAAAAGCTTTATCTATTAGTAGTAAAAGACCATATTTGCACTTCTAGCCAGTGATCTCAATAGGCTTAATCTGAGGCTGCTTCTCTTGTTCTTTAGGCACAACCACTTTAAGCACACCGTTCTCCATAGTGGCCTTGACTTGATCCATCATTGTGTTCTCCGGCAACCTAAACCTCCTCAAGAACTTACCAGTGCTTCTTTCTACGCGATGCCACTTATCGTTCTTCTCTTCTTGTTCTTTGCTTCTCTCCCCACTTATCTGCAAAACTCTGCCATCTTCTACCTCCACTTTTACCTCTTCTTTTTTCAACCCAGGAAGATCAACAGCAAATATGTGAGCCTCCGGAGTCTCCCTCCAGTCCACTCGTGCGTTGGCAATGGCGGCTGTTTCGTGTTGAGTGGACGGAACATTGGCCACTGTTCCGCTATAGAAAGGTAAGCCCTCAAATGGGTCCCAAATATCTAGTGAGAACGGATCAAAGATGTTGCTCCTCCTTCCTAAGCTTAAAGCCATTCTAGCTGGATACTTGATTTGAAGTTGAAGGGTTGGAAAGAGTATTTTCTTGATTCTTGATTTGTTGATGAGAAAGACGAAGATGGCTCAGATATATAGAAATGGAAAGGAAGAGTCTGGTCCCTTCGAGATTTTGTCAAGTCTGTATCCTTCTAAGAGATTCTCGATCATTTTCTACTTTGTTGTAAACTACGTGTCGTATGCTCGAAGCCCGTCTTACACGTGGTCGCACAGTTGAATCTTGTGGCATGGCCAAGTGGCTCGTGGCTTCACCTTCTTTTTTTGTTTTTTTTTTTAGAAAGTAATGATTGGATAACGTACTTGTATGATGTATTGGTTGAAGGTGAGTAGAAAAAAAATAGTTATTTCGATAATTTTTAATTATTTTAAGAGCGTTTAACCATTAATTGTTATCTTAATTTTTAAAATCTAATTCAATTTAACTTAAAAAATATCTTAATTTTTAAAATCTAATTCAATTTAACTTAAAAAATATCTGGGAGCACAGCTATCAATTCATCAATCCTTTGATTTTTATTAACGAAATGAAATTTTTAGATGTCATCAATAAAATCTTTAGCATTACAGCACTAATACTAATCATAATGTTTAAGACAAAATTGAGTGGTTAATCGAAGAAAATTTATTATGAGGACAAAATTGTGCCTTTATTGCCTATACTCATCTCATGATTCTTATCCGATAGAGACGGAGAACCCTTTTTTTTTTGGCGAGAAAAGTTGAAAAATAAAAATATATGGTGTTGAATATTTTGGCAAGAAAATTGAGAGTGTACAATACATGATTGACAAGATGACACAGATAGTAAAGAGATAGGTGAAGTTAAGGGCATGTTCATTAATTTTATCGGTTGTAATAATATTAGCTATCAACTCTTTTATTAATTGTTATTAGTTAGATATTAGCAGTTAAAGATTAATTTTTTATATAAAAGTTAAAATAGAAGTGTTCGATAAAAATAAGTGTTTGATTAGTTATTTAATATAAAAAGATAAAAGAAAAGTAAAATCATAGAAAATAAGGGGTAAAGACAAGTGATAGTCATGACGTCATAAAAAATTTATAAAACGCTAAACGTTAATGAAAATAAGATTTCATGAAACACTATCTCACACTCTAAATTTTAGGGTAAATATGAAATTACTGAACACAATAATTAATTAGAATAATATTTTAATTTAATCAAAACACTAAATATTACTCCAAACGCTCGTACTGAATAATGCCTAAAAGGTGATAATTTAGCCCGTTGAATCACATCAACTCTAAAAATTAGTGTCCATCGAGAAAAAGGGGCTAAAGGTAAAATAAAACTTCAATATTTAAATGCGAAATGAGTAAGGGAAATATTTTCTTTTAATCACATGGTATTCGAAATTTATTGGTCGAATTAATTTAAGTTTAACTATATTGGACAATCTTACAAAGGAGTGAAGTGCTTACTTTGAATATTTTAAAAGAATTTGAACTTAAAATTTTTAATTAAAGGGAAATGGGTTATGTCATCTCACATTTTAAAGAACAATATGAACGCATACCAAAGTATAACTATTAATCAGTGTATATACGATTTGATAAATAGATTGGGGTTCGAATCCACATCCCCAATACTAAAAAAATAATAATAATATAAACAGTTGTCAATTATATTGTAAAAAATATTTATCAATAAAAATAACAAATAAAGTGTTAAATAACTTGGATATCTATGAAGAAGCAAAAGCCTAGACGTAGTGCATTGTTATATATAAAAGTTATATAAAATTTATATTGCAGATAGAAAAATAAAAAAAAAAAAGCACATATCAAATATATAATTGTCACTTTTTTTTATTCTAATTTCATGTTCACAACTTATATTTATTGTCACAGCCAACTCCAAAGTTCATCTAATAATTTATTTGGGAACAAAATGTAGTGCTTGCTTTTATCACCCATTAGCTTTCTTTGTCTTTGCATTTGTGTTTGGTTGCTACGACAATTATTGCAGCATATGAAAATGATTCGGGATCAGACCCAGGAAAATATTTTTATGACATTTTTGAAAGTGTAATTAAACTTTTCATTGTTTTTTTTTTGTTTCTTCTTTCCCTTTAATATATCAATCGACGATCGACATATAGAGAAACAGAGAGTAGCTAGCTTCAAGTGAAAAAAATAAATAAATAAAGAATGGATAAAAGCTTAGATAGTTCTTCTCCTCATGTTCTAATCTTTCCTGTCTCAGCCCAAGGCCATGTAAACTCCATGCTCAATCTAGCTGAGGTTTTAAGCCTTTCAGGTCTTACTGTAACATTTCTAAACACAAAGCTTAGCCAAGAATTTTTAACTCGTTTCACAGACACTGAAGCTCGTTTCCTGAAATATCCAGGGTTTCAATTTGTTACCATACCTGCTGTTTGCCTGTTGCTTCACGGCGACGTTATGAGTGTGTTTGATTCATTGAAATTGAAAAGTAAGCCAGTAATCGAACAATTGCTTCTTGAAAGTAATCCAAGAATTAAATGTTATAGTAGATGGAATCCTTGGATTCGTTACTGATCTTGCTAGCCAGCTTGCAATTCCAATTATTCATTTTCGCACTGTTAGCGCTTGTGCTTTCTGGTCTTATTTTGTTGGGACCGCGCGTACCATCCAACCCCGAATTAGTATGATATTGTCCGCTTTGGGCCAAGCCCGCACGGATTTGTTTTTGGGCACCTCCCAAAAGCCAAGCCCCGCACGATTTGTTTTTTGGGTCACCTCCCAAGAAGGCCTCAATACTAAAATGGGTTGGAGTTTGAACTTCATTTATAGTTTTGGTTCCACTTCTCCTCTTTAATCCTATGTGGGACTTGAGAGGATATCCAACAACACCTCCCCTCCAACCAGACCACTCGGGCATCCCTCCAGTCTCTGGCGTCACCATCTTGTGCCCTACAACTTGGCGGGACACGCCGCCGAAACTCCTCTAGAGGTGTGCGCTTCTTAGACCAAGGCACACTTGCGCAGATTTTCTTGGTTCGGTCTTGTACTGTGTTACCGAGGAGCCCGAGATTTTTTCTTGCAACTGCGCAGTCCGCCCGGCTCCATAAACCTGGCTCTGATAACACTTGTTGGGGCCCGGCCAATAAAAGTTAACGAGAAATACATAACACAGGGGAAAATATTAAAAATTGGGACACACAGAAATTTTACGTGGTTCATCCCTCAACTGTTTAGGGCTTACGTCCACGGGCCAACTTCAATCATTCTCCACTATTAAATAAATAAGTAGGTACACAAAGAGAGTAATACAAAAATAGTGGCACACAAGTGTTTCCCAAAAACACTCCAAAATAACTCCTCACTATTTTTCTCGTCCCTTCGTTTTAGGAACCCATCCATAAAACGGTAAACACTCTCGTCGCTGTAATTTTTCTCTCTCGTTCAGTGTAATGTTTTGAAGCGTTGGCGCCAATCTCCTATTTATGGAAGAAGTGGGACGCGTTAATCGAATCGTCCACCGAATACTATAACGTCGTCCACCGATCCTCACGCGTCCACCTCAGCCGAAAATAAATTTTCCTCTGTCCTTTTTTATTTTTTTCAACCGTGTGGGTCCACTTGAGTGGGGAAACACCGAACCAACCGAACAAATCTCCCCCTGCACGCTCGAGGTGGGAACGTTAGCATCATCATCCCTGCAGCTATAAATCATTAGATGCTGCCCACCAATCTGTACCCGCCGCTACAACTTTGGCGGGACACGCCCGCCCGAACTTCCTCCTTGGTCCGGGAAGACTTTTCGACACACAAGGCAACCACTTCAGATTTTTCATTTCGGTCTTGGTCCTGTGTTACCGCGTCACACCGAGATTTTTCCTTGCACTGCGCAGATCCGCCCGCTCCAAACCTGGGGCTCTTTGATACCAACTTGTTGGGGACCGCCGTACCATCCAACCCGAATTAGTAAATGATATGTCCCGGCTTTGGGACCGCGCGTACCAATCCAAGGCCCCAGAAGGCTCACAAAAAGGGTTCATTTGTGAGCTAAAGACTCGAAAGGCTGTTTACGGTGATACATTGCGAAATCTTCTCCCAAGACACTTCGAGTAAAGCGGAGAATGACAGTACAGTTGACTTTGTGGCAATTAAACGACTATGTCACATGAGGTAGAAAACTTTGGCAAGCAAAGAACGTACTAAGCTAGATTGATGAAGTTCACCTAAAACAAGCGTCCCTGATTGTAATGTGCGGGAAAGCGAAACAAGAGTGCTTTCAAAGAATTACCGCCTCCTCTCTATGGTACATTCAGATCTATGTGGACCATTGACGATGTCATATGGTGGAAATCGATACTTCGTAACATTTATCGATGACCATTCTAGGAAGACCTGATTATACACTTTGAAGTCTAAAGATCAAGTTTTAGATGTTTTTACACAATTTCTAAACTTGGTTGAGCGACAGACAGGCAAAAAGCTAAAGTGCATCAGAATAGATAATGGAGGAGAATACACTGGACCATTTGATGCTTTCTGTAAAGAGCATGGCATTCGATATTAAACGACACTCGCCAAGACGCCGCAACTGAATAGCTTGGCTGAGATGGTTTGGCTGAGAGGATGAATAGAACTTTGATGGAGAGAGTCTGATGTTTACTCTCACATGCAAATTTGTCTAAAAGATTTTGGGGTGAAGCTTTACTTACAGCAATTTATCGTTCACCTTGTTTTCCTCTACAGTATGATACTCCAGAGAGAGTATGATCAGGAAAGGATGTTTTCTATGATCATTTGCTGGTGTTTGGTTGCAAAGCCTTCGTGCATATCCCGAAGGATGAACGGTGTAAGCTTGATGTCAAGACTAGACGGTGTGTATTCATTGGCTATGGCCAAGACCAATTTGGCTATAGGTTTTATGACCCAATCCAGAAGACGATTATAAAAAATCGTGATGCTGTATTTGTTGAAGATCAGACTATTGAAGATATTGAAGCAAAGATCAGAGCTATTGAAAGATATTGAAGCAAGAGTGCCAATAGATCTGATGAAGACTCACCAGACATTACAGAGAAGTCCCTCCCAAATAGAACGCAAACAAATTGGAGATGCGTGAAGGGAAAAAGTTCCATAAGAACAAGGTGGCCAAGAGTAGATAAAATTCAGAAGTTCCTAAGGATGGAAGCCAAATGAAGATTATGGTGTTCATAATTTCAACCAACCAGCAACTGGAAGGTTTCTCAACATTACAGAAGATCAGTAAAAGTCTGACAACCATCTACTTAGATATCCATGTCAATGAGTAATGTACTGGACGACTGACGGGGGGAAAGCTTTGAAGAAGCTATAGAAAATGAACACAAGAGGAACTGGATTGAAGCCATGCAAGATGAAATGAAGTCCTTGCATGAGGATGAAACATTTGAGCTGGTAAAGTTGCCAAAAGGCAAGAAAGCTTTGAAGAATAAGTAGGTGTTCAGGATCAAGCAGGAAGAACACAGTTTCCAACCACGATTCAAAGCTAGACTGGTTGTGAAAGGATTCAATCAAAGAAAGGGTATTGATTTTAATCTTTTCACTAGTTATGAAATGGCATTCATTCAGACAGTGCTCGGAACGGCCGCCAGTTTTGAACTAGAAATCGAGCAAATGGATGGAAAGACTACCTTCCTACGTGGAGATTTGGAAGAAGAATAATCTGCCCACCATCTTGTACCGCCGCTACAACTTTGCTGGACACGCCGCCCGACCTCCTCTTGTCGGGAAGATTTTCGACACAAGGCACCACTTGCAGATCTTCTTCGGGTCTTGGTCCTGTTGTTACAACAACACATCGAAATTTTCTCACACTGCGCAGTCCGCTCCGCTCCGCTCCAAACCTGGGCTCTGATACCACTTGTTGGGACCGCGCGTACCATCCAACCCCGAATGTGAATTTCGTGAAGTTAATTCTGTCAAAGTTACTATTCACATGAATAGTGAATTTCGTGAATAGTGGAATTTCATTAGATTCAGAATTCAACATGGCTAATGATGGGGCAATATTTTGGTTCCACTTCTCCTCTTTAATCCGATGTGAGCCCATTGTGAGGATATCCCAACCAAACCTCCCCTCCAACCAAAGGACCAACACAAATCCGTGATCCCCTCCAGGGATAATCTGGCCCACCATCTTGTACCGCCCGCTAAAACAACTGTTGGGCGGGACACGCTGCCCGAACTCCTCTTGTCGGCAAGACTTTCGACACAAGGCACCACTTTGCAGATTTCTTTCGGTCTTGGTCCTGTTGTTTACCGAACGTCACAATCACCGAGATTTTTCTTGGCACTGCGCAGTCCCGCCCGCTCCAAACCGGGACTTCTGATAACCACGCTTGTTGGGTACCGCGCGTACCATTCCAACGCCCGAATTATATATATTGTTCTTCGGCTTTGGGCAGAAGCCCGCACGATTTGTTTTTGGACTACCTCCCAAAACGCCTCATACTAATGGGTTGGCGTTTTTGAAACCAGTAATATTTTTTGGTTCCCCAACTTCTCCCTCCTTAGGCCTCATACTAATGGGTTGGGTTTGAACCATTATATTTTGGTTCCACTTCTCCTCTTTATCCGATGTGGGACTTGGGAGGATATCCCAACATATTTTTGTATCCCTGGCATGACTGAAGCCGACGAACTTCCTATTGAAGGTATTGATATTCTTTCTATAACGAGTTTGTGTCTTTTAAACTATTTTTTGTTTAACTAGCGTTTGAGTTTAGAATTTGTTGTAATTCAGTTCTCTGACAAATGGGTACCGTTTATTGAGAAATTGAAGGAGAAGAAGACATGGATAGGCTTATCGCAAAAGTTCCAGGAATGGAGACATTTCTCAGGAAAAGAGATCTTCCAAGTTTCTGTAGAACTAAAGACATGGCAGAGCCTGCTCTTCATATGGTCATCAAGACACGACAAACTACTCGAGCACAAGCCCTCATTATGAACAGATTTTAAGACTTAGAATCACCAATACTATCTTAAATTCGCAACCGTTGCCTCAAAACCTACACCATTGGACCACTCCACGAGCTCTTGAAAACAGTCAAAATTAGAAGCACAAACACACAAGAATCACATCTATCCTCAAACAGTCTCTGGGAAGTGGACAGGACTTGCGTTGCGTGGCTAGATAATCAACCTTCGCAATCTGTACTGTATGTAAGTTTTGGCAGCGTCACAATGTTGACGTTGGACCAGCTTATAGAGTTCTGGCATGGTCTCATTAATAGTAACAGGCCATTCTTGTGGGTTATATGTTCTAGCTCTATTACCAATAAGAAAGATATAGTTATTGAGAACCTTCCTGAAATGTTCCAGGAGGGTTGTCAAGAAAATGGATACATTGTGGAATGGGCACCTCAAGAAGAGGTTTTAGCACATAAAGCAATTGGTGGGTTTTTGACACACGGTGGATGGAACTCGAAATTGGAGAGAGTATAGTAGCAGGTGGGCCTATGATTTGTTGGCCTTATTTTGCTGACCAGCAAATCAATAGTAGATTTGTGAGTGAGGTTTGGAAACTAGGTTTGGATATGAAAGATGTCTGTGATAGGAAGATTGTTGAGAAGATGGTGAATGATCTGATGGTGGATAAGAGAGAAGAGTTTGTCACGTCAGCGGCTAGGATGGCAGAGTTGGCTAGGCAGAGTATTAGTGAAGGTGGATCCTCTTTTTGTAATCCGAACCATTTGATTGAATATATCAGGGTAAATGCGTCTGAAAGGACATGCATGATAGTTGATACATTGGTGTTTTCTTGAATCATGGAGCTCTTATTTGTAATTTTTTTGAATTAATTCGAGAAAAATTTAATACTAAAAATCCATTAATCACTCTATTGTTACTAAAATAAAAGAGTAATAAGAACGAATGGATAAGGAATTGTATGAAGTGATAAACCTTTTTTTTTCTCAAATTTTATTTTATGTTGGTATGAAAAAATAAATTACTCTGCATTTTTTTATGTATGTATAGATGCAAGAATGGATAAGGAATTGTTATTGAAAAGTATCGGTACGTGAACTGACCGTGGGCTCCTTACTTCAGTAAACCCCACTTAAGTTTTTATGCCTCGATCTATAATTTTTTAGACGGAATATAAAAATTTACTCTTAAACTTTGCAAATGATTTATATGCATTTGAACATGTAAATTTTGTTATTATTATGCATCTTTCGATATTAATATTAATAGTTTTTAAGATTTTTGGTTTTTAAAATATCAACTTGATGAGTAGTTAGCATGATTTTTGGAACAATAATTTCATAAATTTTAACTTTTAATGAGTGTTTAACTGATTTAATTTTGCAAGTTAAAGTGTTCAATAAAATAGTTTTTGAAAATTAAAGTGTTTAATAAATGTAGTTTTATAAGTTTAAATGTTTAATAGATTAAATAAAAATTGAGAATGTCACAAGTTTAAATTAACAAAGTTCAGGATGAATTTATTAATTCAACCTAAATTTTTATAAATTAATCCATATGTTTACACTAATTTAAATTTACTTTATTAATAATTTTTATTTTTAACTCTATTGAATTATTACTTCTATATATTTTCCGTGTGTTACATAACATTAATTCTTCCATTTCTATTGTTCTACAATCTTCTAGTTTTCTTCTTACTTTTTCACTTGCTTTCGTACGTGTTTTTATTGGAAGATCCAATGAATAGTTTATGCATATTTAGATTTCATATTTATGCACATTTACCCATTATTTACAACAAATGATACAAAATTTTGACAAATTCATTTAGAAATTTATATTTTTGTGTTGGAATTAAAAAAAATGTAAATTTCAATTGTAGAAATTTAATTCCATTGAATATGATATGACTATACCAAATTTCACAAAATAGATGGAAATGAATTCCACAAAATTAAGTCATTCAACTTTTTATGACAAAATAACTCTTTTCTATATACAAAGTTTATTTTTTAATTTTTTTACTTATTTAAATTATTTATTTTATCAAACTTGACCAATCCATTTAAAAAATTTATTTTTTCAGAAAATTTTTTTATTGTTGTGTTTTTATTTTTATATTTTTTAGCATTATTTTACTATCGACAAGAGAGATTCCCGTTAAATATCTATTTATTACTAAATTAAATGTAGAAATTTTATTAATATTATTTTAATTTTATATATTTATTTTAATACAATATAAAAAATTATATAGCATAACATAAATATAATTGCTATTTATGATTATTTTTGTGAAATTACTATTTTAAGGATATTTTAAGAAATAAAAATAAATAAATTTTCAACTATAAATTTGTTCCATACAGAATTATATGAAATTCAATTGAATTATATGTTTTAAATTAATTAAACTAAATATAAAAATTTATTCACAAATAAATTTTATATTTTGGATTCATTTATAACAAACAGATTACTACCAAAGTTCTCCTTTTTCTATCAAAAGGAAAATATTTACCAATAAATAAAATTATAGAATAACATTATAGCCATGTACAACCCGGTACAGATATTTTGCAGGGCAAAGCCTGAAGATGGGCTGAGACAGCTATAAGCAGTGCATGAGAGCAATTTATGTCGACATTACATACTTGTATTTATTGTCACAGCCCCACTCCGAAAATAATTGGTAGACAGGTAGTTGTTGTTTTCATATAACAGCCAAACTCCAATTGCGTCGGCATATGGGTTTGTTTCTGTTTGGTTAGCGCGAAAGTGATTCGGAATCTTTTGTGGCCACACTCGAACTGACAGCATATTGTTTATGACCAATCTATATCTTCGCAAGTATAATCCTATTTATTTTTAGTGATCTTCTTGCGCGCTAGCTCCTCTCACGCACAGAAAAAAAAAAAAAAAAAAAAAAAAAAAAAAAAAAAAGACAGGTGTTGTTTGTTTTCAATATAACAGCCAAAACTCCAATTGCGTCGGCATATGGGTTTGTTTTCTGTTTGTTAGGCGCGAAGTGATTTCGGAATCTTTTGTGGCCACACTCGGAACTGACCAGCAATTGTTTATGAACCAATCTATATCTTCGCAAGTATAATCTATTTATTTTAGTGATCTTCTTGCGCGCTTAGCTCCTCTCAGCGCACGAAAAAAAAAAAAAAAAAAAAAAAAAAAAAAAAAAAAAAAGAAGGTAGCTTCCAAAGAAAAAGAAAAAAGAAATGGAGAAAAGTTCAAATAATTCATCTTCTCATGTTTTAATCTTTCCTTTCCCAGCTCAGGGCCATGTAAACTCCATGCTCAAGCTAGCGGAGCTTTTAAGCCTTTCAGGTCTTACTATTACCTTTCTAAACACACAACATAGCCAGGAATGTTTAGCTCGTTTTACGGATATTAAAGCTCGTTTTCTGAAATATCCAGGATTTCGATTTGTTACAGTACCTGACAGTTTGCCTATTGATAGTGGGAATGTGGCGAAAGTGCTTGATGCATTAAAATTGGAAAGTAAGCCAGTAATTGAAAAATTGCTTATTGAAAGTAATCCAAGAATTAACTGTTTTATAGTAGATGGAATCCTTGGATTTGTTACTGATCTTGCTAGCGAGCTTGCAATTCCAATTATTTATTTTCGCACCATTAGCGCTTGTGCTTTCTGGTCTTACTTTTGTATTCCTGACATGATTGAAGCTGGTGAACTTCCTATTAAAGGTATTATTATTCTCTGTATAATGAGCTTGTGTTTTTTTTTTTTTTTTTTTTTTTTTTTTTTTTTAGCTTTTTTGATTTTTTTTTTTTTTTTTTTTTTTTTTATTTAGCTTTTTTGAGTTTGGAATTGTTGTGATTTAACTATACAACAAAGGGGTACTGTTTGCTGATATTGAAGGAGAAGAAGAAATGGATAGGCTTATAACAAAAGTTCCAGGAATGGAGACATTTCTCAGGAAAAGAGATCTTCCAAGTTTCTGTAGAGCTAATGGCATGACAGAACCTACATTTTACATGATTATGAACGAGACACAACAAACTACTCGAGCACAAGCCCTTATTATGAACACATTTGAAGACCTGGAATCACCAATACTATCTCAAATTCGCAACCATTGCCCTAAAACCTACACCATTGGACCCCTCCACGAGCTCTTGAAAAGCATCAAAATTAGAAGCACAAATAAGCAAGAATTACATCAATCCTCAAATAGTCTCTGGGAAGTGGACAGGACTTGCATCGCATGGCTAGATAATCAACCTTCACAATCTGTAATCTATGTAAGTTTTGGCAGCTTTGCAAATTTGACGTTAGACCAGCTTATAGAGTTCTGGCACGGTCTCATTAATAGTAACAGGCGATTCTTATGGGTTATAAGGCCTAGCTCCGTTACCGATAAGGAAGGTATTGTTGTTGAGAAATTTCCTGAAGAGCTTCAGGAGGGTTGTAAAGAAAATGGATACATCGTGAAATGGGCGCCGCAAGAAGAGGTTTTAGCACATAAAGCAATTGGTGGGTTTTTGACACACAGTGGATGGAACTCGACATTGGAGAGTATAGTAGCAGGTGTGCCTATGATTTGTTGGCCTTATTTTGCTGACCAGCAAACCAATAGTAGATTTGTGAGTGAAGTGTGGAAATTAGGACTGGACATGAAAGATGTTTGTAACAGAAAGGTTGTTGAGAAGATGGTGAATGATCTGATGGTTAATAAGAGGGAAGAGTTTGTTAGATCAGCTGCTAGGATGGCAGAGTTGGCAAGGAAAAGTATTAGTGAAGGTGGATCCTCTTTTTGTAACCTGAACCGTTTGATTGAAGATATCAGGCTGATGAGTGTGCAAACACATCATAATTCACAGGAGGATAATAAAACAAGCTTTTGATTATTTATCTGTATTATCTTAGTTTGTACTCATTAAGTAAGAAATTGTAATTTTCCTAATCGCCTTAGAGGAAGTTGCTTTCCTTGCATAGTACTCTGCCCAGTTCGTTCATGATATTACTGGCAATTGTCAATTTATCATCATCACTCTCTGAATTTTACTTACATGTAGTCCTTATGTTGATAACAATGACGCACACAATGAGGTCATATGTTGTTAGGGCCCCACAATAATAATACGAGAATAATTGCTGTGGAAAAATAAAATTGTGATACACAGAATTTCTTTCTCTTCCATGCAATTGTCAATATCTTGGCTAATCTCCTCTATTTATAGGAGAACAAAACGGATCTTGAATGAGCTGTACAATACCGGTACAAATTAACTACCACTTTCAATTTGCACAAATTTCACGGCTGTCGCCTGACTTCTTTATTTCTTCCTCCCTTTACAGACTTCTATTTTTATTTTCATTTTTCTTTTCAAAAAAAAATGCGTAGATCCCGCACTTGAGTGGGCACACCACCACCAACATATGTTACCATCTTTATCAATCAAGTTCATAAGCTAATGATCCCTTACCCATTGACCAAGATTGATGCCTTAGAATTTTAAGAAGTTGCATGTATCTCTTTCCAAAAAAGGAAAACAAAATGTTGGATTCCGGTGTCCGTTACTGTTGTAAGTTTGTTTAAAGATTACATTTTTGTTAAAAAAAAAATATAAATCAAACAATTAATAACAATTACTTTTTAACTGATGAGGTTAATTTGAGCTGAAAAAACTTTAAATTTAAAAAAAAAAGAGATGAGTATTTCATTTTTATAAATGAAATAAAATTCACATAGGTTAAAGATTTTTCCTTAACTCTTTGTGTAAGCAGGATTAAGCTCGTTTAATAAGCTATAAGGATATCAAAAAAAATATTAATATTAATAAAAATATATTTTTCATTTTTTTCAATGCATTTATTATTGAATTATTTCATTTGAATTAATGAATGGAATAGTGCTATTCTAGTAGTACTATCTCATCTACTAAAATACGGAAATTCTTGCATGGGAATTGATTCTTTACAAAAATCATGGCCATGTTGTAAACCTGATTTTTTTTTTCTTCCACCGACAAGGCACGTGATGGGTCACGTGTGCGCTCCTATCGAAAACCCCAATCCTCTTTTGTTGATGAAAGTAGTACAGATAGGTGCCCATGATCGGTGCAGGATGGGTTTTTAATACTTTGTACGTTAAGATATTAAATATATATTGTTTTGTCACTACCATGATAAATGCCGGGACAGATTAAGTTTCAGCTAGGTTTTTTTTTTTTTTTTTTTCAGAGTTAAGTTTCAGCTAGGTTTTTTTTTTTTTTTTTTCCAAAACAATTTTGAAAAATATAAGTTACTTTAAAAAAAAAAAGGTATAGGCTTAATAGTACAAGTTTTTTTTTTTTTTTTTTTCAAAACAATTTTTGAAAATATAAGTTTACTTTAAAAAAAAAAAGTATAGGCTTAATATACAAATTCATATATAAATTTTATTGCTTTAATTTTATGACACCTCAATTTTTATTTTGATATAAAAATACATTTATTTTTTATTTTGATATAAAAATACATTTATTAAATACTTTACTTTATTTTGTTTGAATTTCTAATGGTTGAACTAAACTCTAATCATAATTTTCGGTTGCAATGTATTTTTTTTTTTATTGGAAAGTCTAATGGGTCAAATAATATTATAGGCTACACAATGTGAATATCTCTTTTTTAAATTCACTAAACCGATGAATATTCTTGCTATAAACAGAATTTGAACTTGATAGCTCGCATTTTCTACATTCTTATGGAAGACAATTGTAAAACCGAAATGATATACAAATTTATTAACCAAACCATTTATATTGACGAGCGTTAAAACAACTAACAAGACTAAACCACATAGTTATTATTAAATGTCCAAACAAAAATAATTAACCTACTGAGTCTTGAAAATAAAAGACTCAAAAGATAAAATATGACTAACCAATCTGTCTAGAGATTGGCTTGAAGAGCCATTTTGGCTAAAACAAAGATTTGCTTTCTCTTTTAAACCCAAGATTCTATTTCTTACCTCTTCTCCTTCTTTCTCCACCATTAATCTTTTGATAGTCTTCTCTATCTTCCCTCTATCAAATCCATTTTCTAATTGCAACCCAATTCTCCAAACTTCACTTACATATCTTGCATTGACTTTCTGGTCAGTAAAACAAGGCATACATATCATAGGAACTCCTTCACAAATACTCTCCAATGTCGAATTCCAACCACTGTGTGTCCAAAATGCACCAATAGCAAAATGAGCTAATACTTGTAACTGAGGAGCCCATTTCACTATATGACCTCTTCCATTCAAATCCTCAATGAACCCATTAGGTAGTTGCTCAACCCATTCTTTGCCACTGACTAATCCGGGTCGAATCACCCATAAGAATGGCTGCTTGCTATTAGCTAGTCCATAAGCTATTTCCAAAAATTTACTTTCTTTTATTGAAGCAAGACTACCAAAACTCACATATAGTACTGATTTTGGTTCTTGTTTGTCTAGCCAAGCAATGCAGCTTTCATCTTGTGTTAATGAGCTACTTGATGCAGGAGAGAACTTGTGAAATGGCCCTATAGGGAAAACTGGAACATCAAATTCGTCGCGAAGGATAGCTATTGCAGATTTCTCAAGATCTTCAAATGTGTTCCAAATTAGTCCTGAAGATGCCTTGGTCTCACTTACCATTTTGAATACTAATTCATATAGTGATTCTGGTTGGCTTGTGTTGATCACCGGAAGATCCTTAACTTTGAGTGGTGGAAACTCCACAACTGGTTCTTCCAATTGGGATTCTGATATAAACATTAAAATGACAAGAAATGAAAAGAAAGATGATTCTGTCTATGTCAAAATGAAAAAATTTCCACAACCTTTCTTTTTTCCAGGTAATAACTTACCGAATCTAAATACGTTTGAGCTCAATCTTATATTATATTGAAAAGAAAGAAGTGAACAAAGACTATATATACATATGCGCATACCTTGAAATGGAAGGTAACCTTTTTCCTTTAGAAATGGGAAGGCCGAGAAAACAAGAAAAGATGAAGCACCACCAGTCCTTAACACAATTCTTGGAAGATTAAGAGTATTGGAAACAGCTTGAGTGAAATGAAAGATAGCATCTGAGATCAAGCAAGAAATAGGCTCCTCCAAAGAATCAGATAATAATGTAGACAAGCAATCTTGAAAAGGAGCAACGCATTTGATGTTAAGAAGTGAAAGAAGAGATAAAATATCTTTTGTTGATGATTCTGTCTCTGTCAAGTTTTCTTGAATGAAATGGAAAGTGAAGTGGGGATATTTTGAAGGGTCTGGAGAGTTGAAGGTAGTGTGGATTATGGTAATAGAAAAGCCTTTGGAATGGAGAATGTTTGCAAGTTGAAGCATTGGGTTAACGTGACCTTGCAATGGCAATGGAAAAAGAACCAATCTCCTGCCCTTCCTTTCCTCCATTTGAGTAATTGGTAGGGAAGTTTTTGTTCCTAATTCCCTTTTTAAGGGCCTCTGCTAGGGATCACGCCCCAAAAAATTGTGACTATTTAATATTTTTTTTGGTACATATTATATTATTTTTTAATGAGCAACCAATATAATATTATGTGCAAGTTTTGAGAGTAAAGATAAGTAGATGATGCAAGTTGGATCCGAATTAATTGAAGAAAGAAAGATATGATATAAATTTATTTTTAATAATTTTTTCTTAGAAAAAGTTTATTTGGACATCTTCCAAATTCTAGTCGAATCTAATCTTTTAAAAGAGAATATACTATTAAACAAGTTGGAGTTACTTTAATTGACAAAGCAACATCAATCTCAATAAAATTTATATTGCACATTTTCAGAATAAACACAACAAACTGGGACGATTTTCAAGAATGGGACAAAATTTCCAAAATTGCAGCATTTCCATTCTTGCTCTTACACTTTACAACAAAGGATTTATTTAAAAGAAACAACTTTGAAGTGACATTGGTCTTAAGCCCCTTTTGGTGCTTTCACAATTAACTTTTTAACTAGAAATTAAAAATTATCTGCTTATTGTCTAGCATCAGGTATGACAGGATCAAGAATCATTAAGAAGAAACATAAGCAACAATAGGGCTCCTCACTTTGTGCTCTCCATCATCCCAAATCAAAGAACCAGAAATTGAACTATTACCCACTTTTGCTGTTACTGTAACTCGAAACAATTTCTTCTCTCCAAAATTCTTGAAAGAAAGCACATTAGGTGAAACATTGATCTTAAGACTTTCTGGAGCTTTTACAATTGCTTTGTAAGTGGAAATAGCTGATCCAACATTTGTAACAGCTCTGTGAAAGACACGGCCTACCGATTGTCCGGAAGGGGCTGACAAAGTGAATGAAGGACAGTTTAGAGCTGCAGAGGTTGTTTTTGGTTCTTCAGAACAACTGTTATTGTCACCAGTAACAAATTGTAATTGTTTAGTACTATAACCTTGTCCACATAAAAATTCTATGTATTGATCCTCTCCAATATCATATACTAATCCTGGATTAATGGCCTCAGTAGGATCTATATGTCCTGCTCCATATGCAAACTCTGCCTGTGGATTTTTCTCAGCACTCATGGGAAATGCTGTAAAATGTTTAAATTACTCAAATCAACATTGAAATAGAATGCTTCTCTCAACAATTTCTCAAAGAATAATGTCAAACAGATATAAGCTGTGTTTGGCAATAGCTTTATAAATAGCTTTAAACACTATTTTTATAGTGTTTGCCGACATAATGTTTGAACTAGCTTTTAGAGGTTAAGATAGCATTTTATAAAAGGTTTATCACTATAACTTTTAGTTTTTTTAGTGTTTTATGAAAAGCTACTCAAACAGCTAAACGCTACCAAAACAACTAATTTTGCCGAATAGGAGCATAGAGAATTGGCTAACAAATGCTTTAACTGACTTACCTGTTGTCATTAGAGCAGACTTGATGGCAGCAGGAGACCATGTTGGGTGAAATGACTTTATGTAGGCTGCAGCTGCTGTTGCATGTGGGCAAGCCATAGATGTGCCAGAAATTGTATTGAAAGGAAGTATTCTGTCATCACCAAATATTCCTGTTATTGTGTTACCTTCTGTCCAAGCTGCTAAGATGTTAACTCCAGGGGCTGCAATATCAGGCTGCAAGGTCAAAACTAATTGATTAGATAGTATATATAAAATGTAGATTGAAATAGAGCGTGTAATTTTCAATTTACCGTGAGAATGTCTTTCGATATAGGATTAGGTCCTCGCGAAGAAAATGAAACTACATACGGGGCTAACTCATCTTTTTTTGCAATGCTTTTGGATATTGTTGCAGTTGGTTTTCTATGGTATTGTGAATGAAGCTACTGAATTAATAGCATGTGTATAGAATTAAACCTGCAATTTTACTAATAAAATTTAGATAGCATTACCGAGTTCTATTTACATATTCTGAAACATCAAATCCATCATTCAAATTCAAATGTGACGCCGGTAAAGGGAAATTGTATGCTACATCTTGGGAATAACCATCTTGCATTATTGTACCAATTGCTCCAGCAACTGATGCGGTTTCTCCGGTACTAATATAATCACAAAGAACAATTTTCCCTTTCACCAATTCCTTGTTCAAGGAGTGTTGAACACAGTACCTGCACTTAAATATGTGTTACTATCAAATTTAGCATTATGAGATTATTAACAATCTATTATATCTTTCATTATACCTAGATATTGACACATTGAATCCATTTTTGATATCTGGGGCATTTCCACCATAAATTACAGGATACTTTTTGTGATTAAGATACTTAGTATTTATTGATACTCCCTACATAGCAAAAAATTCTGCGGTTAGTTAAGTAGAAGAAATCAGGGGAAAGATTGGAAAGTTCACATTTGCTTACTTGGAAAGTTGCTCCATTTCCTAACTTGACGTTGGTAAAGAATTTCCTGTCAATAGTGCTGGCAGCTACTGATAGAAACCAAGGTGCGAAATTGGTGACAGTTGCAGGATACGGACCTGAATTTCCAGCAGAAGCTGAAGTGAAGATGTTGTGCTTCATAGCATGGAAAGATCCAATAGCGATAGTATCATTGAAATAGTCTACTGGATAAAACCCTCCAACAGAAATTGAAATTATGTCAACTCCATCAGCAATGGCATCATCAAAAGCCGCAAGAATGTCAGCATCTGCGCAACCATCAGACCAACAAATCTTGTATACAGCAATGCGAGCAGAAGGAACTCCTCCACGAGCAGTTCCTGGGGCAAGTCCTGCCATCGTTGCCTTCTGTACTAAGTTTCCTGCTGCTATTGATGAAGTATGAGTACCGTGACCTTCTGAATCTCTTGGAGAAATAATATTATCTGGAGGAAAGTATCCATCACTACGGTAGTATCTAGCTCCGATTATTTTACTGCAAGTACATTGAATAATCTAAGGCCTAATGATAAAAATATTTTTGAACAATTAGGACTGTTTTATTTTTCGAAGTCTGATTACTTGTTGCATGTGAAATTGGAAGATTTTTGACAAATGCCCTTCCATTTTGTTGGAGGAGGACCGAATTGTTCATCGTTAAAACTTTCAGACTCAGGCCAAATTCCAGTGTCAAGCATTCCAATAATGATATCGCTTTCAACAATAGTATTTCTTCTAACTTGTTGGGAGAAGCCCATGAAGTCCCATGACCTTGTTGTGTGGAGTTGTTTCTTTTCACTAGGAAACACAGAGACCACACCCTCCATGTCTGCGCAGGAGTTCATATTATTATAATAAAAACCAAATCACAGGATTGATTTCCATAACTCACCAGCTAACTTAAGCATCTCCTCATTGGTCAACTTAGCAGCAAACCCATTAAAGCCTCTTTTGTAGCTATAGATCATTGAATCTGATCCATCACTGTTGAATGAGTATTACAGATTAATCCAACAGCTAAAAGCCCAAAAACCTAAAACTAGACATTTGTTTATGTAAATAATTAAAAAACCTGCCAAGAACTTGTTGTAGCATGTTGGCATGATGATCTGATGCAAAAATTTCACTCTTTGGACGGTCACCCATGTACACAATGTAAACCTGCATGCATGTTTTGATAAAGTGATCATATACGTATTTAACACTAATGATTATATCATGCATGCGCCTTAAAATAACGAATTTCAAAGGAAAAAAACAAAGGAAGGAAAGTATTTGCCTTTCTATCATCTGATATTCCATGGCAGCTAATAAGAAGGCTACTAATTATGATTATGCCAATTAGAGAGAATTGATTTGCCATTAGAGCCTATTAAGTATTGATGTTTCCACATATGTATATATAATGAACCATTACTAACAAAGATTGCTAATTAATCAAACCGTCTAAGGACGGCTTTGGTATTTTGACTTCCCTTTAACAAAAGATTTCATTAACTCTTGAAAATAATTTACTTTCTAATTTGAACAAGCTAGAGATATTCCTTAAAATAAAAATGTTCTCCTAGTAAATTTTCCTGTTGGAGGAGAGGGATAACATAGTTAAAACCGTTATGTTATGTCCACTTGTCTCGAAAAATAAAATAAAAACATAAGTCGAACAATGTATGAGAGGACCTTACATGCCAATATCAAAATGTTTGTTCCATGGAATTGTTTTTTAGCTCAAGTACTTTACTGAAATACTCTCTACCAGACGGATGTTCATGGGTGTTAACGAAAGACTGCCACAAACAAAAGCCTGAAAAGTGTCGAACATTAATAGGTTATTGTCCGTGTAACCTAATTATCTTTCTTGAGCTCTACCTCCCTTACGTACCACAAAACAAATTTTTAGAAAACAAAAAAAAAAATTGATAAATGCACATTGAAGTTCAACTTTATTAAACACAATCAAAACTTGTCAACTTCTCAAGTTCACAAGTCCTAGTCTTGCGCTCTAGGACTTGTTTTGCTAAGTATTTAAAACCCATAATGCAGAATTGAGTTTTTTTTTTTTTTTCCTTTTAACTATTTACTAATCAAATACTTAAAAAGTAATTTCACTTAATTATTTATTTATTTTTAAATTGACTAGTTAAAGAATACAATTTAAATCAAAAATTAAAAACAGGTGGTGAAACTAAACCTCCTTTAAATAAATAGGCTTTTGAACAAGAAATTAATTCAAAACTTCCTAAACCTGATTTATGCCCTCGTTTATGAACTAAACTAAATAAAATAGAAATTTTTTAAAAATTATTCATATTTATCTTGGTCAGACAAATTCACATATTTTTAATTTATTTGATTCATGGATGAAGCTATAAACCGAGTCTAAATAAGTCATTCTCTTCAAATTAATTAATATTATAAGTTGTAAGGTGGTAAGAAGCTAAATTAATAAACAAAAAAAATTATTGAACCCTATTGACAAATCAGGCCTACTTGGGGCTCGAAATTTTTATGCTTCTGCTTCTGCTCGGCCTACCCGTGAGATTGGCCCTAGTTCGTGTATTAAGCTCAATCCAATTGAAAGATAATCAATAGGTCATTTTTGGTCACATTTACAAGTCATTTTCTCATTTACAACTCCTTATTACGGTACTTGATCATCTCCTAATATTCTAGGATTATATTATACTCTAATAGAATCCTTCTAAATTTTTAATTATATTTTAGTTTATAAATGATTAAATTTTTTTTCATCAAAATATTATAAATTAATAAAACTTGTGGAAGGCAGTGGAAGGTTGGAGATCATTGCACCTTAGTCCCATCCCGTCCCCATCTCTGATCCACTAGTGGAACCCACGGGGAACACAATAGTAATATTAACACAAAGTGAAAGCAAGAATTTCTTCCACGTTCGAGATTGATCTCCACTTTCCATTTTCATGAAGCATCAAGAACTTACCATTGTTTATTCCCATAACCCAAAAAGGAAAGAAAAGAAAAGAAAAGAACACTATAAATATGTCCTTCCATTAGCCCTTCAAAGCACACGAACAAAAGAAACACACTAAACCAAGAAACTTTCTCTCACCGATCTTTGATCTTCTCCAAAAACCAATCAAGAGAATGTCTCTGATTCCAAGCACCCTCTTCGGTGGCCGGAGAACCAACATTTTCGATCCCTTCTCTCTCGATATCTGGGATCCATTTCAGGACTTCCCTTTCACAAGCACTGCTCTTTCTGCTCCTCGTTCTGAGTTATTGAACGAAACGGCAGCGTTTGCCAACACCCGCATAGACTGGAAAGAAACACCAGAAGCTCATGTATTCAAGGCTGATCTTCCAGGGCTAAAGAAAGAGGAAGTGAAAGTGGAGATAGAGGAAGGTAGGGTCTTGCAGATAAGCGGAGAGAGAAGCAAAGAGAAAGAAGAAAAGAATGATAAGTGGCATAGAGTTGAAAGGTCAAGTGGTAAGTTCTTGAGAAGGTTTAGGCTACCAGAGAATGCAAAGGTTAATGAGGTTAAGGCTAGCATGGAAAATGGAGTCTTGACTGTGACAGTGCCTAAAGTGGAAGTCAAGAAACCGGACGTTAAGGCTATTGAGATTTCTGGTTGAAACTTTTAGTTATGTTTGAGTGTGTCTAAGTCTAAATGGTACCCATCCATCCAATAAAATAAATAGATGTGTGTAATGGGTTTGTTGTTGTGAGCTTGTTTCCTTATGGAGTTGCTGTTTTTATTATGTAATCTGAGTTTTCGTTAATAAAATGTAAGTTTTTCTTTTAATTGTTAATCTTAGTTTCATTTTACAGTGAAAATTCTTAAAATTAGTTAATCTAAGCAGCAATCCAGCATTTTTTTTTTTTTTTAATCACTTAACCTAAGTCCCGGCGAGAGTGGCTTGCATATTGGGCCAGATGCCCAATGGCAAGAGCTGGAGCACGAGTCCTTCGGTTAGCATAAATGGGCTTTTGTGTAGTGTTTCTTTAAGCTGCCTAACCTATCTGTAGCCTTTGCTCTTCAGACCTTGAATCTTGAACCAGCCAAACTTAGCCCAGTAGTATCAGAGGTAGCCTGTAGTTAGCCCACTGCAACCGCCCATGAACCAGAATTATGAATGGCTGTTAGAAGCAGGAGGCGTAAATGAGTCGAACTAGCTTGTCAGCTATTCGAGCTCGGTCTCGAAAAAAGTTCAAAAAAATTAGCTGAAGTCAAGCTCAAGATCCAACCAAATGAATCTTGAGTCTCATGATGTTCCACTCGAAAACTTATCAAGCTTTATCAAATTTTTTTATATATATATAATTTGAGCATCCAGCTGAACCTGATAAATTTAACCTCGATTGAATTCATTTATACCCCTAATTGGAAGAATGGAATCTCCTCCATACGTGGATGAAAAAAAATTTCACAAATTTTCATTTTTATTTTATTTAAATATCTACAAATGAAATTAAAGAAAAGAAAATCATTTGTACCATCTATGATAATTGTCATGATCAACCATTGACATTTGCGATATTTATATTCCTCTCTGTGCCAAATGTCAATTCTCTGTTTAATTCAATAAATTGTTTTATATTCAGTAATTTATAAAAATTAGCATCTAGTTGTTAAGGGCCCTCAATGAGCTAGATTTTTTAAAAATGTTTATATATTTGTTAATTTATATATAGTTGCAAAGAGAAGGCTAACATGATTGCTACCAAGCACGCTGCCTACACTGTTGAGAATCATAGCACCAAGGCATCATTCAACCCTACAAGCAATGAATCTCCTCATTGGTTTGTCCCATGCAGGCCATTCATATTTCCTTCATAGTATATACATATATGTATACACATCCACACCCAGTGTTAAAAACTGAGTTTATGTTAAAATGGTAAAACACATCCGAATTCAGTTTATAATTGGATATTAGTGGTTTAATTAGTTGAATTCAGGGAAAAAAAATAATGGGTAACTGTCAAAAAAATATAATTAATTTTTATAAAACACTAATCTTTAGAGTGTTTAACGTTTCATAAAAACTTCTTTAAAACTTTAAAAATTATATTATTGAACAGTACAATCAACAGAGATAATTTTTTTCTTTGATCAGAATTGTAAAAGCTAGTTCAAAAATTGTTTCCGAACCAAATCTTATCGTTAAGGGATAAAGAGTTCACTAATTGAAGGCCTAATTAATGGAAGGAATAATGGAGAAAACAAATTAAGTAGAAAGAATCTCAATAAACATCACTCATGAGGTCACACAAGTGTTTAATTAAAGAATTTAAAACCCCCCATGTGGTGACAACTCCTAAATTTAAGCTCTCCACCCTTTGATTAGTTGTTAATTTTAGTTGCTTACAAGCCAATTTCACATATAATTAGGAGAAATAGTGAAATTTTCAATTTCTTAAATAGCAAATAAAGGATCTTTTTTTATGCATGAACCAATGAATTTGATTTGGAACCTCAATTATGGAACCAACATTTACCTAATCTTATACTAACTTTTTTTTTTTTTTTCAAATTTAGACTTTTTTCTGAAGTAATATCCACTAAAGTTATTAATTAGGATTTAATCAAAAGATTAAAATTTTGTTGTACCCATCAATCATAGAATACGGTTCTTGATCTATATATAAAATTAATTGAAGATGAGACTTTAGGGTACACTGCATGACACGTTCATTTGATTTGATAATGAAAAAATGAAGTCATCCAATTTCGACATATGTCCTCAAATGAACATTCCAAATATAGAATTAGAAACTTAAAATTTAATAATATTACAAATATGACCGTTTTGAGTCGTGAGAGACAAACAATAAGACGAGCTTATAACCGATCTTCTCTCAATTTTGGATATTACCTATATTTTAATTTAGTAATTTGATCCATATATTTTAATTTAGTAATTTGGAAGTTTCAATTAAAATTAATGTAAAAGCTTAATTTTTGATAAATTATATATTGTGATCAAGTTCCAAATAAAAATTATGTATTATTCCTACAAATACAAAGGCTATGTTCGATACTAATTTTGAGTCAAAATAATAATTTTATTACTTATAATATTTGAAACAGTAGCGTTTATACAAGATAAGACGGATCTATAGTGGAGGCAATGGGGTACTTGTCCTTACTGGTTTTTTACAGTTTAGTTTATGGTTCTTTAGTTGTTAGTGTATATAATTATTTTAATTTATATTTACTCCACTAAATTTTTGCCTTTTACCTCGCTGAATTATTATTTTCATGTATTGCCCTTCACTAATTAGATTTTTTGAATCTATCCCTGTATACTAGTGTCATGAAACGTTATTCCTATTAACATTTCACGAAACACTTGTTAAATAGCTTTCAGCTATTAGAATAGCTAACCATTACTAAAACAATAAATTTTATCGAATAGCTAACGACTGCTAAAACATTATTTTAATTTCACTGAAGATGCCCAAAATAATTAACAACCCACCTAACGGTTAGCATCTGACTTATGCATGGAGCATTAAAACTTATATGAGAAATTTCATACTCTTGAACATATCTATGATAGTAAAAAGTACAATCATACAATATTTTTGCATCTAGGTGTAAATCATTGGAAGGATATTGAAACTAGGATTTTAGGACAACAAACACTTTGACCATTTTTATTGTTTGTTCTATTTAATTTTTGTCTGAAATCATTAGCAAATAAGAATTAAAATTAGTAATTTTTAATTTGGGTTTAGTGATAATTAATTTATTCAACCATTGAAATGGAGGGTGTTGGCTTGATTTGTTCCGCAGGAACTGGATAAAGCCTACCTCAGTTGAGAAATAAAAAAATAAATAAGGATTTAGCTTAATAATAGTTGATTACTCACTAACACTAACTAGCTACCTCTATCCATTGTTTTTGTACTTCAAATATATTGCGGCGTAACGTATAAGTAGTCTATCACTAACGAAAATACAAACAAGAGCAAAGACAATTTTAATGGTTCAAATTAAAAGAAAGTGTCATAAAATTAAAAAAATAAAATTTAGGGTAAATTTATGTATTCACCGGATTTATAGTTTCTAAAATTTTTAAAATTCAAGAAGTGAATATGGATGTTTATAAAGATTATTTTTGTATATAAAATAAAATTAATTAAAAACAAAATGAAAAGTTTGACTTTTTTTTTTTTTTTTCGGTTTCATGCTCTGGTCTCATGCCAACTCACATCACATGCTAGGGATGTGTAACTGTGCAGGAGGTTGTTTTTTTTATAATTATTCTAACAATTATAACTTATTACAATTAATTAAATCCATAAAATTTAAAGTAGAGGGAGTTGACCAAGTCAACGAAATTTGAGTTCACAGAGCACCAAACCACAACTACCAAAGATGTCTTTGCATTAGCTATTTACTTGGTTTTCGGACAAAAAAGGAGCAACAGGGAAAACAAAACAATATCAAATAGGACCCACTACCCAGACCCAAATCCACGTAAGCCCATATGGTCCCAATCACAAAACTGAAAAAACAATGCCAAGTCATATCTCCTTAATCACTGATCAACTATCCACCAATACTTCTACTCCTTCGCCTCGAAGCAATTTCCCTCCCTACCCCCAACATCCCCTTTTAACTTTTCTTTCATCTCTGTTCTATAAAGGACTCATAAGTCATTAGATGCTAATTAGGATATAATTTAATAAATAACTTTTGCCTTCAAAGTTGAGAGTAAAAGGACAAGATGCAGTTGACAGTACGACACGATACGAACATACTGATATAAATATTTAAAAAAAAAAATAATTATTATAAAATATATATATCTAAATTAAAAGTAGATGGAAATAGAAGGTCACTTTTCATCTATCAAATATTCAAATTCAAAACTATCGGTGGAGATAGGGAAGAGTGTCGAGACTTATTTTGAAAAATAAAAAAAAAAAAAAAAAAAAAAAGAAATTCAGAGACTATCGGTGGGAGAGTAGGGAAGAGTGTCGAGACTGTATTTTGAAAAATAGAAAAAAAAAAAAAAAAACACAAATTTAAATTGGCAATTTTGTCATGGTCCTTGATAAATTCGGTTGGTAGGTAAGGTTAGATATTAAAGGACAAACTGGAGCTCAACAAGTTTCAGGCGACATGCATTTTTTGAATTTAATTTTTGTTGACTTTTCTTCAATGGTACACTTCTCAAGTCTAGTTAGTGGTTTACATCTGTGATATATTTTTCCTTTTCCTTTTTTATACGTCCATGGAAAACAAAATTAAATTATAATACGAGTTCTACGATTTAAAAAATATAATTAGTTCGTTTTTATATTTTTAAAAATAGATTAATTTTTTCTTTATGTTTTACTCCCGTAGTATTATTAAATCTTTTTGTATAATTTTTATATTTTTTTTATTAAATAAGAACATTAATACAAGGCAAAACAATAAACTAATAAAAAGAAATAGCAATTTCCTACACTATCACTGAACTGCTTCTTGATAGCTTTCATTTTGTATCCCTTGTGATTCAACTGCCATGGTGGGATGATACCAACAAGAAAAATTTTTATTATAAAAAAAAAAAAAAAAAAAAAAAAAAAAGTGGGGATGATACCAACAAGAAAAAATTTTTAATTATAGAAAAAACAAAAAAAAAATAAAAAAAAAAAAAACCCCGAAGAAAAAAATGTTTTTAACAAATATGATGAAATAGCAGATTATAGACGCCAGTCTTTAAATCAGACATAAAGCACGGCAAGCTGTCATTGTCACAACCAAAAAATCAAATGATATTCAAAAAAAAAAAAAAAAAAAAAAAAAAAACAAGAAAAAATTTTTTTAACAAATATGATAAATACAGATTATACCCAGTCATTTAAATAAATAAAGCACCAACTCATTTCACAACCAAAAAATAAATAATATTAAGAAAATGAGGGCATAACCCTCTTATTAGTTACCATTACAATAAATTAAATACATATCCTTCTTCTATTTGTGCTTTTCTAGCTATTTTCCTTCTTAACAAACTGATGCAAACTTCTCCCAAAAAACCAGGGTTTATTGCCTTTATTTCCTGTAAATTACATCCACTCCTGAACCCTTTTCTGTTTTCTTCTTGCAAAACCAAACTCCATAAAACCCTATGGATCTACTGCCTGTATGCTTGCTTCTACCTTATACATGAATCTTGGGTCAATATATCCACTCTTGAGGTAGAACTATTTCATGATTAAGCACACTCTCATGGCTTAAATTTCTTTTCTGCTTTGACATTAGAGCATTTCTTCTCGCCATCATAGCATCTGCAAAAACAACCCTTATAAGTCTCACAACATTGCAAAATGTACAGAAACATAAACAGTTCAAATCAAGGCCCTCCCAAATTACAGATTCCAGTCTCCTCTAATGCACAAATAAATTAAAAAACAAAAAGAAGGATCAAATTAAGGACTTGCTTACCATGATGAGACGCAAATCCACTATTAAGGGCGTGATTCTGTATGTTCATGTGCTCAAGGTTAGATTTTTGAGCCTGAACAACCTTGCCTGTGGATGCAAGAAAAATTAATAAGCATCATGTTAATATATGGGTAATAGTAATTCATTTGCTCAAACAATAGGATAAAATCAGGGGCAAATACTATCAAGCAGAGAAACTAAATTAACCCTAAAGGACAAAACTAGATGATACCTGATTTCTTGTTACAGTCGGAAGAATTCGCATATCTGCGAGGCAAGAAAACGCCAGTGCCAGTACACTCTCTTTTCGCACTAAAGCCACCAAGAAAAGGAGTTTTCTTGCATGAACTAGAGTGGTGTGATTGCTGATGGTGTTGGTTCTGGTGCTGATTTGATTGAACTTGAAGGGATGGCCAAGCCGACTGTGGCAGACCCAGGGGATGCACTCTGCTTCGTATTTGGTGGCCTTGCCAGGGCTGAGCTTGCAGCTGGGGATTCATTACCACCTGGTTTTGCCTAACTTGATTCTGATACTGCAAAAGAGAGAACCGATAAAACCCATCACCACAAAAGAAAAGGAAAGCCACACTATTCATTTAAATCCATACTACTCAGTTACCCTAAAAATCATTTTCTTCGATGGTTTCTTTTCCTTTCTAGATAGCCAAACAGAGTCAGGGCGACGTAAGCATTAACGCTCACTTGTTAAACCAAACAAAGATTCCGATTTTACTCTGAACAAACTCAGACCTAGTTTTTCTTTTTTTTTCCTAATTTTCCTCTCCTATTACTTCTTTTTCTCGATAGCCAAGCCAACCAAAGGTTAATTAAAGATTCCTCTAAACTGGGCAGTTTAATTACCTGATTCAAGTGCGGAACAGTGTGACCAGAACTCTTGCTTGAGGAAAACCCAGTTATCTGAATTTTCCCTGCAGCATAACCCAGCAATCCCCTTCCTTGATAGTTACAGTTCTTGTCGCCTTCATTGCTCATCTTTAACCTATCAATACGACCAGCAGCTTCATATATTAATTCCCATGAATCGTTTTTTGCTGCAAATGGGGTCGTTGGAGGTGACAACTCGCCGTTTGGGCTGCCGTTGCTCGAAGCTGACCAACACCCAATTCCACTAAGTGTCGACTCGGGTGACCCGGCCATGACCCACTTCTTCTATCGAGTTAAATATATAAGCGAAACACATCAAACACTCTTTTTTTTCAGTCTAAGACACAAAAATGTAAAAGAGAAGCGCATGTAGTCGAAGTCTACCTTAATAGGCTCACCACCGATTTGCTGAGTCAAGCGCCGAGCCAAGCCAGCTAGAAAATCATCCTCGTCGCTGCTCTCCGTCTCACTAGAGCCAACATCAGAAGAAGAACCGAACGAGGCAAACTCGTAAGGGAACTCAGCTGGGAAGCTCAAACTGGAATCAAACTCAGCGTCAAATCCATTTTCTTTAGAGTTATCCATGGCTACAAGCTTTTCCTCTGCAAAAATCCAGTTGCAAGCCAATATTATACGTGTTGAGAAGACACAAATATTACACCCACAAATCCATTTAAAGCTATATGTATAGAGAGAAAAAAAGAAAGGGAAATGAGAACTGAGGAATATGGTGGTGGGGAAGGTTTTAATAATGGATTCAGGTGAGGTTTGCTGGGTTTGCAGGCGGTGGCCCAAAGAAGAGCGATGCAGAGAAAACATTAATTAATTAATATTAATGTCATAATTAAAAAAAAAAAAAAAAAAGATGGATTCAGGGTGAGGTTTGCTGGGTTTGGCGGCGGTGGCCCCAAAGAAGAGCGATGCCAGAGGAAAACAATTAATTAATTAAAAATATTATGTCATAATTCAAAAAAAAAAAAAAAGAGAAAAAGAAAGAAAGAAAAGAAGGCAGAAAATAATTATTCTTGGTGGAACTCCACTCGGCACGGCTCACGCCCCTGTTCATGTGAAAAAAAAAAAAAAAAAAGAAAGAAAGAAAAGAAAAAGCAAAAATAATTATTTTGTGGAACTCCACTCCACGGCTCCACCCATGTTCATGTGGGAAGCACGTCATTTTTCCTGCTTTTTCTGTATTTTTGACCATGCAGTGGTGTTATGTCCAGAAAATGGCGGAACTATAATTAATTATTATAATTTAACATTTCAGTTTTATTTAAATATAAATAAAATAATTATTTTTCACTTACATCTTTTTTTTTTCCTAATTAAAATATATATTTATTTTTTCACAAAAAATTTTTGCATATAAAAATACGAAGAGGAAAGGGCGTTTCAAATTACAATTTGACTCATTTTAAATAGATTCTAGAGTTCTTTAGACGAAATTAGTTGTATTAGTAATTAAAATAGTTGTCTTATTAATTGCATGTTATAAATTAAGTATTTCGTTAAAAAAGTTAATAGTTAATAATTCATTCTCTTAAACTTAAACTATTAATATAAATGTCATATTATTAAATATTATATAAATAATAAAAATAATAGTTTGACTAAATTAAAAGTATTATATAAAAAAATTATTGCTGTAGAATTTGTATTTTTTTAAGTTTATCGAATGAATTTTTTAACATTACATATCTATTAATTTATAAATACTTCAATTTATTTACCATCGAAAATATAAAAAATAAAAAAAAAATTGATTTTAAAAATTCTATACATGCCATGTGTAAGTGGGGCATATAGGTGAAAGTAAATTTAAAGAAAACATCATAACCATTAATTTAAAGAAAGTAATTACTGCTGCTTCACGCTCAAGCATTTTCCTTTGTCCAATTCCTTCCCCTTTTCATGTTAAATAATAAATAATGTAGCTTTAGCCTGCAATATTACATTTGCCCTCACCACAAAGTACCCTTTGTTCTTAAAACAGAATTTGCCCTCCCTGTTCAATTTAATTGATACGGCAGCTTATCTATTAAACGACAAAGTTAGAGCTTCATAAATTTAAATTTAATTGTTCAAATTTGATCCAATTGTACTCTTTCAAATGAGGACTTGCAAATCCTTTAGCCATTTCTTCAAGACTACACTTCCCAACTCTTAATGGACTACAAGTGTAAGTATGTAAGATTAAGGGGACCCAAGATTTACACTTTGAGAGTAAAAGCATACACTTTAATTTTAAATTTAAAATCAATAAAGAGTTGTATCCAGTGTAATTTGATTAGTCTTCTTTTTTATGTCAGATATGAAGAAAAATCTCGAATTAAGTATTTTCAACAATAATAAAAAGTTGAATCTTTATTTGAAAGATGAGGAGAAATCTTGAATTCAAATCTTCTCAACAATAATAAAAACCTTAAAATGGTGTAGTTCGATTAATCTTGTCACTTATATAAAGAGTGAGAAATAAAAATCTCGAAAAGAATTCTCACCAATTTATAAATTAAGAGTAAATCTCGAATTGAAGTCTTATAAATGATAATAATTTTCACTAATTTGACAAATTAAGAAGAAAGCTTGTTATATAAATTTCATTAAAGTTGTCTTCGTTCAAAAGATGTTCAAAATTACCTTAATCCCATAATTTAATTCTTGATATTAATCAAAATTCCAGAGGAATAAGGGCAAAAATCATTCAAAAAGCAAAAAGATTCAAGTGTTCTGGTTTGGTTTCTGCAGAAAAAGCTTCCCTCAAAGAGCATCATTCAGTTTTATGATAGAAGAATATTAGTATTTAGTGACATTTAGCAAGACAAGCAGAGACTTTAACAGAACAGAATAAATAAAAAAAAAAGCTTTTTCTTATTAGAATTTCTTGTAACTGCCATAGGACATTACAACTTACAAGCATAGAAGGTTTGTGGATTCTTCAAGAACAAACCTTCCCATTTCAAAATCATTTAACCTCCTAATCATCTTCCCTATAATTAAATAAAATATCATAAACAAAAGATTATGCCTCCAAAATCAAAAACTTAAAAAGGCCTAAAAACCATATATTCCCTTTTATTACAATATATAAAAATACCAACTTTTCCTCCTCTACTACTACTAATATTACTACCACTACTAGTATATCCACTTCCTTTTCTTCATCTAAAAAGCTGATTCAAACTTCCTCCAAAAATTAAAAAACATGGATTTCTTATTCAACTTCTCTTGAATTCCTTTTCCTATATAATTAAAAACCAAATCCCATAAAAACCCTATTTATATATTCCTTCTGCTTCTTCTTCTTCTTCTTCTTCTACTACCTCTAAACTTGGCTTTTTCTTTTTCCAACAAAAACCAGCATTAATTTGCTTTTTCCTCGCTCAATATGTCCATTCTTGAGGCAAGATTTCATGATTGAGCACACCCTCTGCACGTATATTTCTCTTCTGCTGCGCCAAAAGTGCATTCCTTCTTGCCATAAATGCATCTATAAAGAAAAGATACTCTGATAAGTTAAATTACTCTAGTTAATTAATAAAATCAATTGAAATACTTTCTTCAGCTTTTTTTTATTTTTTTTTACCATAGTCAGAGGCCAAAGAACTATTGAAGCAAGGCTGTGTCTGGTTATGAGTGCGGCCCTTAATGTTCACATCTTCAAAGTTCAAATTTAGAGCTTGAACAACCTTTGCTGGTAGCAGAACTGTAGAGCAAGCTAAAGAAATACAAAAAGGAAATTCCAGAAAAGGTCAAAATAGTTCCAAAACAGAAATTTGAAGATTACCCATAAATTAAAACAAAGATTTGGAAAGAACCCAGAAATTAAATTGCGTTTTAGATATAATTACCAGATTTTTTCTTCGACTCAGTTGGGTTTCCGTATCTGCGAGGCAAGAAAACACCAGTCCCTGCACATTCTTTTTTAACACCAGATCCACCAAGAAAAACTGCTCTCATGCCGGAATTAGTACCGGATTGTTGCTGTTGTTGTTGATGGTGGTTCTGCTTTTGAAGAGAAGGCCAAGCAGACTGAGGTAGAGCTAAACACCAGATCCACCAGAAAAACTGGCTCTCATGCCGGAATTAGTATCCGCGGATTCTGGTTGCTGTTGTTGTTGATGGTGGTTCTGCTTTTGACAGAGAAGGCCAAGTGCAGACTGAGGTAGAGCTACTGGATGCGCGCATCTTTCCATGTTTCGCCAGAACTCTCTGTTTCTGTTTCTGCATCTGCTGTTGCTGGTGGTGGTGCTGAGGTTGAAGGAGTTGGTGCTCGCTGCAGAGAGTGGTGGCTGCTGGTGGCTCTGGGCTTGCGCAGCGCTACTTTCACTTCTGCTTGTTTTGCCCAAATAGAAGGATTCATCTGTTTGTTTCAGCGTATTGTTTTGCCTCGCTCTTGCAATGGTACTTTCTGCAAAGACAGAGGAGACCACTTAGACCCATTAGCCTATCTAAAAGGTTGAGACAACCAAATGCAACTTTCAAAGTGCACGAAAATCCAAAAACTTTTGTTTAAATTAGTCTAGTGTTAAAGATTTTTACCTATTAGAACTGAAATCATCATTTTTCATTTTTCTTCTTTCATTTCTTTTCTTCATTTCTTGGTGACCAAACAGACCACACCCATATTACCCTCAAACAGAGGGTGTGTTTTTTTAGCTCATTTATAGTACCTGATTCATTTGAGGAACAGAGTGGCCATAGCACTGGCTCGAGTAAAACCCAGTATTCTGATATTTCAGTGCTGTTTCTGGATTTTGGCTCCTGAGAGGACACAATAATCCTCTCCCTTGTTGATTACTGTACTTATTGCCTTCATTGCTCATTTTTAACCTCGCAACTTGACCAGCAGCTGCGTATATCAGATCCCACGTATCATTTTTAGCCCCAAATGGCGTCGTTGGCGGTGACAACACACCGTTTGGGCTTCCGTTGCTTGAAACAGACCAGCTTCCGATTCCACTCAGTGTTGATTCAGGTGACCCAGCCATGACCGTCTTCTTCTATTAAACCAAGAAACACGTCAAAACCCACTTGTAGACCATTCAAGTAGCGAACAAAAAGTCAGAAAAAAAAAAAAAAAAAAAAGACTTTACTGAGACTCACAGTGGATTGGCTGAGTCAAAGACGGCCGGGTTGAACCCAGCAGAGGAAATCGTTCCCGTTACTTGCTCTCTGTCAGTTGAGCCAGATAACAGAGTCGTCCGGCGAGCTGAGAGACGGAGAGACGTGGAAGAGGAACCAAAAACGAGTCAGAACTCGTAAGAGAACTAGAGCGGAAGCTGAAAAACTGGGTTGAACTTCAGCGGTTGCTTGAGAAAGGTTTTCTTTGTCCAATAAGCGACTCTTTCGCTCGAAGTAGAGAACTCGTTTGGAAGCCATATTCTATGTCCATGAAGGACCCAGCCATTTAAGAACAGCGTCTACTATCTTGTTGAAGGAAAAAAAAAAAAAAAAAAACGAGTGAAGACTTACCTGAGACTTCACAGTGATTTGCTGAGTCAAACGCCGGGTTAACCCAGCTAAGAAATCGTCCTCGTTACTGCTCTCTGTTTCAGTTGAGCCAATAACAGATTCGTCCGGCGAGCTGAGAGACGAAGAGGAACCAAACGAGTCAAACTCGTAAGGGAACTCAGAAGGGAAGCTAAAACTGGGGTTGAACTCAGCGTTCTTGAGAAAGTTTTCTTTGTCCATAAGCAACTCTTCCTCAGTAAGAAACTCAGTTGGAAGCCAAGATTCTATGTCCTGAAGAGACCCAGCCATAACAGCTCTATATCTTTTGAAGCTTACAGGTACAGAGAGAGAAAAGAAAAGAAAAGGAACAAGAAAGAGAGAGGTGGAGATGGAAATGAAAGTTGCTGGTGGAGGAAGATTTAATAATGACCCAGATGAGTTTGCAGACTAATGGGCCCAACAGGAAAAGAAAGTGAAAAAAAAGAGAAAGAGAGAAAGAAAAAGAAAGAAAGAGTCAGTAGAGAATGTAGAAGACAACCTGCTTTTATTAAGGTTTCAGGGTCTCATTGAGACAAGATTCAAAACAAATAAATAAAATAAAATTATAGTAATATATTTAAAAATTTTAAATTAAATAAATATTTATATATGGTAACAACTGGTGGGGTGGCCCCATTGGTTGGAAACATTTGTCCTGCTATGTAACTCACCTGCCATTTGTCAATAATTAAAACTTAATTATGTGTTTATTTTAACCTTTGGCATGTAATATATGATTGGGGTTTTGGGTTTTAAACTTGATTTAGTAGATTAATTATTTTTTTGAAATTTGTCTTTGTAATACCAACCCAATTGGGCAATTGTGGAATTTTCTTTCTTTAACACACTTTTGTCACTTTATCCATTTTTGGCTAAATCTTGAGATATTAATAAACTTTTAATTTAGAAATCTTATTCACTGTTCATTTCAAATTTTTTATACAACTTAATTAAAAAGGGTATATAAGTAAATTTTAACTTTTAAGGTAATTTGCTTCATATGTTCACATCGAAAATCATAAATAGGCTACATAATGATTATTAATAAAATTCAAATTTAGCTTATATTTTTGGCACAAATTAATTTAAATAATAAATAACAAAATTTAATTATATATTAATGAAAATAGAAAAAAGAAAGCCGTTAGCTTTTCTTTGAAGATCAATAATTAACTTTCAAGTTACTTAGAACTCTTCTATGTAAATTACAAAAATAAGTATGTTTATACATAAAAGAGAACAAGTACAAATTTATATTTGATTGTAATTTTACAAAAAAAAAATTATTATAATAGTCTAATAATTGAAAGATCTCTTCAAATTCAAATAATTGAATTTTGAAATTCAAATTTGCCAACCATTCCTTTAAATTTTTGTCATTAATAATGTAGTTAACACAGTATCCTAAAATCTTGTCATTTGCAATCTTCAGTTTTTCTTTGCTGGAAAATTTGTTCCAAGTGAAAAGTAATTGCCTATTTTGGGATGGTCAATCAAATTACAGAATCTAATCATTTTTCTATTATTTGACATCTAAAAAAAGAGCAAGTTGTTTCATTTACAGATTAATTTTCAAATAACTGACTTTATGAAAAATTGATATATGCTCAGTGTATATAAATATTTATCAATTATCAATGTAAAATATATGTTTATTATTATGAATAAATAAAAATAAATAGGATTAAATTCAACCATTCAACACCTCAAATTGTTAAAATGTAAAATTTATTATTTCAAAAGCTATAATGTTTATATATCAAATCGATCTTTTATATAAAAAAAGTTAAAAATCTAAAAAATTGTTGTTGGTGCTGACTTAGTGACGTGTGAAATTATTGCAAAACAATTTATAGTTCAAAATATCACAAGATCAAGTTTAAAATTTAGATTGCTATAAAATTATTTTTGTCCGAATTTAAGAGTTAAATTATGTACTCGATGATGCATAGATCTAATTTTATACAATTAGTGATTGATATGCATTCGACAACTAAGCTTAAGATCTTTAGTAAAGATTTTAATGTGACGTTGTTAGTTGAAAGAAAGTTCTAGTTATATTTTGGATTTTTTTTTTTTCCATCAACTATTAGCTTATTCAAATTTATATTATTTTTGGACTTTATTAATTTTATAAAAATAATTACTCATATTTTCAAATTTTATACAATTATTTATTTATGATTATTTAAAATAATAAAATAAATAAAATTATATATTCATATATGTGTATAAAATATAACAATAATATATAAAAATAATTATATTTTTAATGATTATTTAGCAATTCATAAAAATCGTTATTAAAATTTTAACAAATAATTAATAATCATCGATTAGTAACCATGAGCAAGCATTATTAAATATCAACCGATTGAAATAGTTAAATCAAACTGGCCCTATATTTAAAATTTTTCCGCTTTATCTAAAGAATAAGAATTCCAAATTTTATCATAATTAATTAATTTGATATGATTAATGGTCCCATCCGCATGACCAATATATAAAGAAAATCATACAAAATGCATTGAGATCTCATTAAGATTTGAAGGTGTCTATAATTGTTTCATTTTAGGGTAAGTAATTAACCAACCCATTTGTATTCCAAATTTTACTATTCTTCTATCATAATGAACATATTGGTCCCACTAATATGATCTTATGCACACACAGAATCATGTAATAGACATTGAGATGATTCATTGACCACTATATGGTTAAGCATGCCATCATCCATCCTAGATCAAGACACAAATTTATTAAATAATTTTCTTTCTTTTTTTTCAAATTCTAGCATATGAATAGTCTAATTACAAATATATAAATTGAAAACTCAATTTTAATGCATGAAAAATGATTCTAAGTATTGTAATCGGCTGAATAAATCAATAGAAGCAGACTATATTTTTAGATAAATTTGACTTATAAAGTCAAGAGTTCAAAATTTGAGTCACTATGATTGAGAGGATTTTACTCAACTATGAAATTTTGCTTGAACGTGGAGATGTTTGTGGAGAAAAAAAAAAGGGAAAGCTAAATTAAGTTGAAATGTATTGAGATAAGCCACTTGGGGTTATTAGATGTGGGTAGTCCAATCATGCAAAATTTACATGTTGTTAGGTCAATATCACATGGTTGGCTAAAAATGGTATGATGTCAATGAGTTGTTGATTTCGGTGGTAAGCGAACTTAATGCCCATAGGGATGAGAATATAAATTCGATTATCGAGAAACACACTTTACTGGAAGGATAAAAAATATTTACGCTCTACGGTTCGAGGGGATTAAATCTTCCGGTTATATAAAAAAAATTAGTAATTGTGAACATCTCGAGGCAACTAAGATGAATGAGAATAAAGAGAAATTGGAAGTTTTAAATTAAAGGTAGTAGTGAATAAAGGTTGAGGTTAACTAATGATAATTTAAATTAATGGTTATGAGTGTGAAATAACTTACATCATGACTTTAAAGCAAGTCAATATATTTTTTTTTCCTTTGTTTGTGAGGTTAATGAGTCTATTGAATATCATTGATCCCCAATAATCAGGTCACATGTTTGATATACAAAAAAAAAAAAAAAAAAAAAAAAAAAAAAAAAAAAAAAAACATTGATCCCATAATTCAGGTCACGATTGTTTGCATATACAAGAAAAAAAAAAAAAAAAAAAAAAAAAAAAAAAAAAGAAAAAGAACATTAACAACTAGTAATTTTACCGTGATTTTTGCTTAGGAGCAAAGGCAAAAAAAAAAAAAAAAAAAAAAAAAAAAAAAAAAAAAAAACATAACAACTATAATTTACCTGAATTTTTCTTAGGAGCAAAGCAAACATTCCTAAAGATATTGAAAAAGATCATTTTTTCTCTGTTCATAAATATAAGTCGTTTTAGGATAATATTTTTATCCGTGAATATAAATTTATTTTGATAATATCGATGAATAGTTAATGATGTTTTTTCAAGATTACCCTTATTTATGATAAATGCAATAATAATCTATTCAATTTTTTACTGGATAATTTAATCAAATTAATGAACATTTTATTATAGTTGGAAGAATCAATTGTTTTCTTAACAGTCGAGTAACAACATTGAACAATTTATATTTATAAATGATGAGAGTAACTGAAGACTAGGGGTATAAATGAATCGAGCAGACTTTCTAGCTATTCAACCTCAGCTCGAAAAAAGTTTAAAACGTTCAGCTCGAATAGAGTTCAAGCCTAATGATTTTCAGCTCGATTCTTCTATAATATTATTTTAGGCTTATTCGAGCCACAAACCGAACTTGAACTTTTATAGAGTCGAGCTTCATTCTAAAATTTCTAGACTCGTTAAATTTCGAATCGAGTTAAATCCTAACGAGCCGAATTTTGAACTAGGGAGATTCGAGCTCGACCCATTTACACACAAGTAAAAGCTATATATGAAAAAGATCAAGGCTAATGATAATTTAAATTATTGACTAGTTGGGGTTCTAGTTTGACCCCAGTTTTTTACTTTAGAGAGTTGACTTTTAGCCAATTAAGTTTATTAGCCATTGATTAAAATCTATTCGAGAATTCTGATTTCAAATTATAGTAGAATCGATAAGCCGAACCCAATTTCAGTGCTTATCTTAGTATTGTTTTGAAAATCAACAACTCTGTTGGATACAATAGCTTCAACATAAATATTAAAAGACATAAAGTTGCTCGTTGTAATTTTCATAGAGGAGGAAACACAACCCTAGAAGTGGCTAAACAATTTTTTTCTCTTTATTTTTATTTTTTATCTATAATTGTTTAGCCCATATATATATACATATTATTTAACATGCTTTTTCATTATTTATTTAAAAGAAATATATTTGTAGTATAATTGCCAAAATTAATTTATAATATTATTCTAAAAAATAATTATCATATTATATATATAGTTCTAAAATAATTATTCGAATATTATAGTATATATAGTATATAGTATATTAAGGCTTATTTAGGTCCTTTGAGTTTTAGTTTAAATGTGTAATCGCATCGCTACTTATATATATATATATATATATATTAACTTATTTAGTCCTTGAGTTTTAGTTAAATGTTATCGCATCCCTACTATTGAACAAAAGTATTGATTCCCCCATGAATTTTAATCCTATTAAAGTATTTAGTTATTTCGTTAGAAAAATGCTATTTTTACTAATAGTTATTCTATAATATTTGACTATTTAGTCATTCACATTTAATACAATATTAATATATAATCCCTTATATTTATTATTAAATCATCATTTAGTCCCTCACTTAAACAGTTAAAATGATATTTTTTTAGATAGAACAACTAAATAGTTTAATATAACTAAAATTCACGGACAAATCGGTGTTTTTGCCGAACAGTAAATATATAATAATAATAATCTTGATTAAAATTGAAGAACTAAATAAATAGTTAATTTACCCATATTATATGATTAAATTATGCTATTAAAATAATGAAAATTGTTGGTTAAAGTCAAGGGA